TAATTAGGAGTACGTACGGATGTGTAGCTCCCACACGTCAATATCCTCGAGCATCATAGCTGCACCGACTCACCTTCTCGGACGTTCATCTGAAATAGTGCCGGCGCTCTGCAATCCATATTACATAAGTTAAGGTCAGTATTATAAAAACACCGCGCATGGGGCGGTAGCTGCGCAATCAGTTTTTTGCTTTCCAAATAAATTTCGTTATTTGTGGGTAAATACGAATTGCAAATAAAACACATTAACAAAATTATATTAACTGACACCTAACAGATTTAGTTTTGAGTTTCTTAAAATAAAATTAATTAAAAGCAGTTTTAAATGCAACTGCTTGAAATCTTGTTACAATTGCAGTCATTCAAAATTCATTAACTGGTCCAAATTTCAAATATTTCCTTTCGACACGCGTCTTAAAATTCCGTAAGTACTTAAATTAAAGCATGTTCTCAATTCTACGAGCGGTGAATTTTGGTTAGACGGTAAAATTAGATTTAAAAAACATACGCTGAAATTGCACTGGTTCAATGTTACCGGTGAACGCGGTGGGTATTAAACAGCTGATGAGGTATTTGTCATAATCGAGGCAATCATAGGGTGACTGTGTGCAGTAATCCTTCCAACACTGGACGGTGTTGTTAGCGGACTTGAGCGCCCTGGATGAGAGCACTACTGACACTGGCGCGGGTAACACACCTGGCGGACCACGGTTTGTCCATGGAATTTTGATGACGAGAAGGCTGGTTAATACCACACTAACACAGAAACCATGCCAAATATAGCGAATCGATTGAATTTTGGATCGGTAACATTCAGATGTTCGTTATCGGGCACATTTGCAACTTGCCGATACGTCGTCAACGACAGCGCAATGCTGATACAGCAGGTTAACAAACCCAACGCGAAAGCAACTTAAAAATTATATCCCTACAATTGAGTCCATATTTCAATGTGAAACGCCAAGGAAAACTGTTTGACGATGGTGCGCCAGAATGAATTCGAGATGCACAATACAATCATTGGCACAACGCCATTGTGCCGTGCTTGGCACTTGAATTTCTTACACACAGGTCTCAAGCGCCTTTATTGCAGCGCATTCTGCCATTTAAATTTTCGAACTCAGGCTGCTGGCAGCCGTGTTCCTTACATCCAGATTCTAAGTAACGATTTTTCTTTCAGCGTTGCGAAATAACAACCAAACTTTGTTCAGAGTTTCGCTTTTTATTTACTCACGCAGAAAACTTTAGGCTGATCGTCAGAACCATCTCCAGAGCAAGCTTTCAAGCTCTCTAATTTTTTATGTTGATTCTTTAAATTCCGAATGTAGTCACCAGTACAATGCTCGAATATGTTTGACGACAGGAGATTCAACAAAAAATTAATGATTAGTTGATACTTTTAAGGACTCGCCTGATCTTTGCCGCCATCAGAGCTGGGTGGTATAATACAAGATTGCTTCCAGCTTGCACGACGATAACCATCATTTACTAAAGCAACGAAAATGAATATAAGTGGGTTGACGACGGCGCTCGCGCATAATTTCTACAGTTTCTTCATTACTTCGAAAGGACCGCAAGGTGAAAACTGTTCGCCTGTAGCATCATAACTATTTAACTTCTGTAGAAGCTTGCCCGACTAATTAGCACACATCAATATAATTACTTCGTAACTAAAATCCCAAATCATGAGTAACACACCCCATACTACCGCACGCCGCACCACAATTTCACCGGTTCCATGCATATGGGATTTCCGGTACACCGCAGATATTGATACAGAAATAAGTATTGAGAGTATTAAATAAAATGTTCAACATTAGAAATAAGCATGTGTGAAGTACATTATTAGATGTTAAATAAAGTGAAAGTATTTGATGTGTAAATTCGACAAGGTGAATAATGACAATGTAGTGAGGCCGCTATTGATGTAACTGCCAAAGTGCCAAACATAACGCTTTTTACGCATAGCTGTAGCTTTACGTGGTACACCACCAGTACCAAACAAACTGTGTGCTACACCCTCTTTCAGTGCTTTATTTGTAGTTCTAAAACGAGATAGCAAATAGAGCAGCCCGTCATACGATTTCGCAAATCTGGATCCGGATTATTGTTGGTACGAAATACGTGTGACGATTTCCGCGCCATACTTAAATATCGAATTCCGGAACTTTTCCCTCGTAGGGATCAGTGCGTTCCCACTCCCCGGTATCATTAAAGACAACACAAATGCAACGCACTTGAATGCCCGGCGTATCCAGTGTCTGGAGGTCGTACGGAGAAAGTGTGATTTTGTATGGAAATACAAAAACAAAATGGACACCGTCTGGCAGCATCTCATCGGTAATCTCCTGCTGGGTGCATTTTGCGTAGCGGATCTTGTGGAAACGTTTATTTCTGTTGTTCAAAACTTCGAGTTCATTTAAAGAAACAACATTTGCGTCACTGAAAGTTTCTGAAAGCAGGAGTATGCAAGGATACTTTTTTTTGTTGTCGTGCTGTATGTAAGGGACACCAAATGAGGTGACGGATTCGTAAATTAATGAATCGGCAGGCTGATGTCTCTTTATGAACACCTGATCATAAACAGGCAAACACATTAGGTTGGATAAGCCGATAATTCCGCGACTTCGGGCCAGGGCCGTGGCATCAGACGTGGTATACGCCATGTTTCGACTGCCAGGGTCGCATATGACAATAGCAGCTTGAAATTCCAGAGAATGTGTATCATGGGTGTTTGTAAGGTTTTGAGGATGTAATGCAGGTGCAGCGATATCATGTCCACCGGCGTAAGATTTCTGGCTTGGCAGATCAGGCTGTAGTGAAGGTGTAACGAAATCATATTCACCGGTGAAGAATTTCAACCTTGGCAGATCGGGCTGAAGTTGCGCCTCCAAATTCGTGGTAATAATTAGCGAAGCCGAGCTCATCACCGCAATGTCACCTTCATCAATTCCGAGAAGCGTGAAACGCTGTACTGATCGCATAACGAAGTCGCGCAGCAGGGACGTAATATCTTTACCCGGTGGTTGGACTATGTACTGGCCATCAAGCAATTCGCCGTACACATTGAGGTCAAAAATCTGACTGCTGTCGCCGCGGGTAAAACATGACTGCAGGTTTCGAGCGGTTCGAAGAGACACTTTGAGGTGCGTACACAGCAGAGTGTCTTCTAATCCTCCCGTATTGTTGCCCGGCAAAACCGCTGCCCAGAAGTGCAGTTCTTCAACACCTGCACATGTCAAAACACTCTCTTTTGGCATGGCGACTGTCTGCGAAGTTGAAGGTGAGTCTTCTGTCGCGGTGTGTATCTTGTTCGTCTGGACTGTGCCGAACGTTCGCTTGCTGTACTCCCACATAAGATGCATTTCCTTTGCCATTCCAGAAAAGCATAACTGGGCTTCGTCAATAAACACATGGCAGGGCAGGAATTTGTTAATCATCTGCCGTGAAGCGCACAAAAAAGGATCGTCCATTGATACAGCCAGAACCAAGTAACGTTGTGCGGCAGTGAAATGGTCATTTAAAAATGTTCTGTATAAAATTGATAAATTTGGCGGTGCAAGGATAATTGCTTTTTGGTTCTCGTTTTTCTGAAGTAATTCCAGGCATTTGTACTGCAGCAGAATGGTCTTTCCGGTTCCTGGGGGACCGCAGATCAACTGCTGTTTGCTACCGTACCATGCTTCCTCTTGCTCCGGATTTAAAAACAATATTGGCCTTTGTCCGCGGAGCTTTTTTGTACATGAAGGACTTTTAAACACCTCCGGTGGCGGCGGCATGAGCCCGACAAGTTGAGTAGCTCGTTCCAACACTTCGTAATCCTTAAGAATGGAAGTACCCCGAAATTTCTGGCTGGACTATTTTTTTCACTGTGCTTATGTAGATTTCAAAGGCTTCCGTTTGAGCTTCCAATGGTGGCCATACATCGTTAAGACGAAATGGCTCATTTTTCAGTTTCTCAAACCAGGTTTCATCCAGCAAATGATGATATCCCCATACCGGTATAAAACTCAGATGGAAACTTCAGAAGCGGAAAACAGATAAAAGATGTTATGTACTTGTACTGCCCCTCTATCAGAAAACATGTTTGAAAGGCGTCCCGGAGTTCATTCGACTTAAGGCATCCGGTTCTAGAAATATCATCCAGCTTCTTCCTCTTAGCTTGGTTGCTCATTTCGTCATAAGACTGTATCGTTTTCACTTCAAAAAGCGCCGGTCCACGGCTTGCATGAATAACTAGGATGTCCACATCTGGGAGTTTATGCAGTTCTTTGTTATAGTTTTCGAATTTCCAGTGCAATACAATAAACGCTTTTTCTTTGAGGCGCGCGAACGCTCGCTTCAATGCGTCAAACGCATGATATTCGCCGGACGCCCCCCTTGCTTGCACCTCATAATGCTCCAGCTGGGTTTGTTCTGCTTTTCCTTCGTCATTTTGTGCCTCTGCATTTGCTTCTTTCGCTTTGTTCTTCTTTGTTTGCGTTTTCGTTGGTCCAAGGTATTTAGTGTACCTTGGGACCGGATTTATTTCATTACGCGCCTGCAAGTTTGTCTTCCAGGTTTTGTAGTCCTCCATACGCTTCGTGGTTGGTCCTTGATAATGTGGTACGTACACTGGCGGATATACGTAGCAAGTGATGGCTTCCAGTTTGCTCCAGTCTGGAAAAAGGTCGTTCATTTTTACACTTGGATCCTGTTCCTTTAATTTTAGACGATTCTCCTGCCGGTTGTACTTCTCTGTTCCACGCTTTATCTGAGAGTTCGAATAGGGCTTAACAGAAAAAGTGGGAACAACTCTGGTGGACAGGAGAGTAGTAAATATTTCCAAGACGATATCCTCGAATTTACTGCCAAGTGGTAAATAGTACCGCTTTAGATCTTCAAATATTCCGAAGCCCGTCAATTCGTTCTTGGCTGTTTTCTCGTCAAACGTCAGTTCAAAAAAGTCGGTGCGCCAGTTCCATCTGTTTAACAATCCTTGAAGTGTTTCGGACATGTCTTGGTAGAACTCGTAATTTGAGAACAGACCAAAATGGTTTTGATCAAAGTCGGGAAGTTGCATGACGCCGACATCTTCATGAACAACCAGCCAAAAGATGAACGCACCTGAATGCCAATAGAATAAAACCGCTTTCTGCTTCTCCTTTGAAAAATATCGCAACAACTCCGTGCAAACTAACGCTTGCCTTATGCCCAAGGGAGCAGTCTGGAGAGGTTTTTTTGTTAGCGGCGCAGTGCACGGCTGTTTCCAAGTCATATCGTTCCATCCCGGACAGCACCAATCCAGCAGTTGACGAATCTCGGAATTGCTGAACGCCGTGTAACAGTTTCTGAAATTGTTTATTTCATACAGCAAAATACGAGTATTATTTATTACAGATACAGAATTTGAAAGCCTAATCAAATAGAAGAGGGAAGCTCCATGTTTGGAAAATTTACAGTAGACCGGTACATTCTAATCATTAGCCGTCCTGTTCCACGGTTATTTGAATCTTGAACATCAGGTGAAGGTTTTCGATCTTTTCCCTTGGAACTCTATGAATCTAAGATTGCTTCGCTGTCTTAGATTTCTCGAAAGGGTGACGCCTTGCCGACTAAATGTTCTACCGACTATATATCCCGCAACAAAACGTTGCCGGTGAGTTTGATTTGCCTCGAAGTGTCTGCGTCCAACTGTATTTGACAAGTTGAAAGGGCGAAATTTTACGGGCACCCAATAACAAGTTCGATTTACTGTTCCAGGCAAGGTACGTCGATTACAAAAATAACAAGTTATTCCTTTTGCTGATCAACCAGGTAGGTGTCTTTTGGTTTCGTTAAGCGTGCAAAAAGAACCAGGCCGTCTCTAACAAATAACAGAAAAATTACACTAGCTTTGTGTGCCTCGAGACGTTTTGAAGAGAATACTATTCGATGTCACGACATCCAGCCTTTGTGGCCAATTAGTACGATTCACAGGCATCACAGCACACGCGCTCCAGTAGTAGCACTTCAAAGATATTTCTGAAAGCAAAAATCGCAGCGTCCTTGTCCCTGCGGCGAAACGGCTTTGAATGAAAAATTCCTGCGTCATGTAACAGCGTGGAAAATGTCGGATGTAACCGGTAAGAGATTTCCGGGTTATTGCTTTCAGTAAAAGGAGTCGCGTAAACCTGCCCGCGTGGCGCGTGAGCTCCCTACCGAAATCCGGCAGACATGTATACTCTGTATACTACGTAAACCTTCCTGCCGGATTGCGACAGGAAGGTTTACGCTGCTTCTTTCATCGTTAAACATTAATCCATAGAAACGATTATGGTTTGTAATCCGTTTCTTCGGAAAGAAAATTCGCGATGTGACCTAGGAATCTCAATCCACGGCTTTCCTGAGACAACGTTTTAGTCTGGCAGTTGTTAAAGACAATGCGGCTGCTCTGTTGGCACATGCTCTGTTGAAGCGTTACGCGCGCCAGAAAGTTGGAGCTCATAGAAACGATTATGGTTTTTTCTATATTGTGTAAACCTGAGTTTTTTCATTACTCGTGCTGTCGTGCAGACCAAGTAGTGAGCCACTGTGTTAAGAGACAGAACTAGGTATATCTCGAGTAGTGAGCCACTCGGTTGTCCAAGCCGCTGGTAACTTTTTCTTTTGATTTTATTTTTTGGTCGGTTCTTTGCGATAAAATCAACTTATCCACGCTGCCAATTTCCAAAAGTTCATTTTCAAAATTTTTTTGAATCTTTGAAAAAGTAGCGCGGCTGACAATGGGGCGCAGGAACATTGTCAGCCGCGCTACTTTTCGAATACGCGGCCGGACGCCGTTCACAGTGGCTCACTACTCGGCCTGTACGAGTAGTGTCTATTGGTGCGGGCTTCTTGTTTAGTTAACTGGCTAATAAGGCTATGGCCTTAATAAAACCATCGACCTGTAAACCTTTCTGCTGGCTACAGTCGCATTTTCAGCTGTCCGGGTGGCGGAGCAGCTCTGCAGAAGTAAACGCAGCCGCAGTTGCCTCTTATGGCGCAATTTGGTAAGCACAATAGGCTTTTTTTATGTAGCCGCATTGCGCTCCAGTAACTCCGTGCTGCTTTTTTCAAACAATCCGTACTCTGCATGTTTGTGAGTCGATGCAAGCAATCGACTCACCAGGGCGCGAAGGGAGGTTCCAAATCCCGAAAAATTTCATCGCTTGCATGAAGATAGTATTCTACCAAAGAATGATTAAAAATATTTTCATCTGCTCTGATAAAAAGCGCGGCCGGAGAAAAACTTAAAGTCAACACAACGCTTCATCACACACCCTGCTTGAAACGCACTACATACACTCTGTACTCTGTAGTATTAGAGTGCACTAGGGATATTGGCAACGCAGGACCCGCAGATTACAAAAAAAGAATTTTTTTGGATCTTAGCCTCCCTATGTGCCGTGGTCAGACGTGGACGACCAAGACGCCCGGCCGACGACCAATTCGTGCGCCAAAAACGTCTGGGATAAATTTTGACCACCGGTATTATGTGACGTTTTTAATGCAACAATTATGATCAGAGGGTGGACGAGTCAGACACTTCGGTCGGTATCCCAAAATCAGCCCGGACACTTTTGTCGGTTATACACGTACTCTTTAAATCTAGCCGCATGGCTAAATAAAGCCTGCCTATAATGAATGATACGACGACTATACAAATTTATCCATCAAAACGGTTTGCTAAAATCCTTGGAAAACTTAGGCCAACTCTCAAACCTTATAAAAGCTGAAAAAACCAAGAAACCGGAAGATCCTAAGAATCCTAAAGAACAATAAACTACAAGCGATTTAAAGTCCCTTAAGCAGCCAATCGAAACTGGCTGCATAGGTAAATTTGGTAATGCCGCAAAGACTGCGACAGAAATGCCACTTTAGTGCAACATATATGAGGAGTTAAGCCTGACTTACACCGGTAAAAATATATGAATACCACGCCGATCTGCGTTTCGGAGCATTCGGGATCGTACATCGGTTTCGTAAATACGCGACCTTTCTACTTGCTGCTCTGGCCTTAAGCTCTGCTTACCTCTCAGGTGAGGCAATATGCTGTAAATAGTCGTTACGAGCCGGCATGTTTTCCTGGCATAGTTCGTTGTTTTCGGCATCGCTGGTTGTAGAATCGATAGACCGGGAAGGATTGGACAATTGTGTCGCCCAGTCAAAGACGTCTTTTATTCTCTTGCGGTCGTCAGCGAGCATAACAAACTCCAGGTCCTGGGGATAAATGAAGTTTTGACGAAGGCCCAGAAGTTCATCCAGATTGGTTAAACTGCGGGTAACGTAGACATCCATCTTCGTTCCAGGAGCCGGATTTTCCACTGTGGTGAAGCCTGTGAGGTCGTTTTGAGAAGGAAAAGGTTTTGTCCCCTCATCTTCGGCCATAGTTCCGCTGTTTTATCCGACCCACAGTTGGGCAGCTGGAGTACTGGACTAACTGGGCAAAACAAGATAGCTACAAGGACTAATTGGACTAAAGGCAGAGGGGAAAGCAGGACATCATAAAGGACAGAATTTTCCTATAACAAAACGAATGCACATTATGCAAGCAACCATCACTAACGTAAATTTAATAAATTTATTCCTCTATACTTTAACCACTTTGCTTTAAAAAAATTCAATGCCAATGTCATTTTCAGTTATATTGCTTTATATGGAGCTGTTGCTTAAGCGATGGCACTTTTGTTTCCTTATGCGTATTTCCTCGCACGTTTTAACCTAAAACGGTCGCTGCGCCTGTAGTATAACTTGTCTCAGCAAGCGATTTGTTAAAAAACACCCGGCTTTATAGTTTGCACGCAAAGCGTACGAATACGTATGTATGAGTATCGCACTTTGCAAGTGCAATACATATAATTATTGTACTACTGCAGCTGCGCGTTTATAAGAGCAATTTTTCTTAGAACGTCTCAAGCAGCGGAAGTGCATAAGATTAAGACGGTACTTTACTCATGGGATAAAGGCGTATTCACCTTACCAATCGTTTCGTCACAAAGGCTATCATTCCAAAAAAGACTGTCCAGAGTTGTAGATAAAATTTCTCAAAAAAAACGACCGCCGGACTCTTCTGTAGCTCACGTATTTGCAATTGCGGCCCGGGACTTTATATCCGAAGCTCAATTGTCTGATCCGCTTGAGCAAATCTAAAATGCTTAGACAATCTGTTTTGCTTATTTTTTCGCTAAGACGAATCGATCAAAACAAATTCATTGAGATGAACACAAGTTTTCATTGATGAACGCAAACAAATGAACTTGATACATTAAAGTAACAGTAACAAACTCTGGATCAGTAATTTGCTACCGCTCTAAAGCGCTCTTGTACATTACTGGCAAGGTTATTCACAGCAGTAAGGTTTTGCTAATTAAATGACACCATCAGTGTTGATAATTACTTTTGTATCATAAAGCAAATGGCTCGTTGCAAAATACCTATAGCATACCTATATTACAGAACGGCACTCTATAAACGCACTCCTTGCGTATCGAGTTTTTCCAGAACGAGAATCTGCCGCTCTCCTTGGCTGGATTTGGCAACTGTTAAGTGCTAGCGAGTTAGAGTTCTATGTTATCTTAGTTAAACGGTCTATTTAAAAGATTTATCAGATCAGGTATTCTAAAGAGGAAAGAAGAAGCCGTTGAAAACATTTGTCTTGCAGTTAAAAGGGTTGGCTGTTTAAGGTAAAGTTGCAGAACAGACGGCGAACCGATTGCATCAGCGTTAGCTCGAGCCTCGAACACATTTAACGAGCAAGTGAACTGCATTTGTACGGCACGTTTTAAAGCTCGATGAGTCAGCGAAGAAACAGGTTCGGCGTGCATGCCCGCATACACAGTGCGCATTACACGTAAGTCAAAAAAGTGCTATTATTAGTACTAGTAACAGTTACCCAGTAGCAGGCCAGTAGCTTTGTAGCTACAGTATGTGACTGTAGCTTTTTATTGATCAATACGTAGCGAAAAATGCAGTACAAAAGTATCGGTTAACAATAACAACTATCCATAGCATCATCTCCGTTCAGCTAGGTGAAAGGCAAAGTTGTAGTATTGTAGTTGTAGTATTATATGTGACTGTAGTATTCTTGTGACGAAATAGGGTACTTACAATGATCCATCTGTGTGTAGCAAGTGCTGATGCGAAAGTACATGTAAATGACTCAATAATAAAGTATGCGCATGCTGATAATTGATTGTGTTTAATCTACAGTGGGCATTCAAGTAAATATTAATATATTCCATCCATTCTCTGTCATGCGTTAACATCAAGTGTTTTCTGGTTCGCAGCGATCAGCCGTTTAAGGGTAATAACCCGGATACAATGCATCAAACGCATGTACAGGAAGATGCGGGCGAACTTTCGTTTATGCTCATACGAGAACTATTTTTTTTTTATATTCTGTAGTCAAATGTTTTTTATACAGCGACATGAAAGTGAAAATTGGTTGTGTGCGCCTTATTCGGTTGGTGAGTTCTGAGGACAATATACTTCCAACAAAGTCTGAACCTTTGAAAGTGTACCAAAAGTCTCATTATTAAGATCAAGATCTATACTACGCACGGCGCTATTTTGTTTTCAGACTTAATGACCCAAGTAAAGAATCTGTAAAAACTGACAACACCAAAATATCGGCATGGGTCCAGAACTGGGTCACATGATTTTGTTCTAAAGGTTCGTTCGGCCGGAACCTGGCTGGCACGATGCCGAACCAACCCACTTCCAAGGTGGCTTTGACAATTAAAAAAAAATTAATAGTTAATAGTACTTAGCATAAATTGTTAAGCACAACAAATAAATCGAAAAATAAATTAAATTTTCGTATTAGGATGCAACACCAAACATAAAATTAATCACAAAGTAGCCTCCAGGCTTCCGTTGTGTGCGCTTTCGTACGCTGTTTCAAAGTTCTAACCATGGGATACATTACACAAAGAGATACCGTAATTTTGTTGAACTGTTTGATTTTGCTTAGAGAATTGTTACTGTACGTGGTACGTACTACAGTATCAAAACCAAATGTTGAGCGCTAACACGATCTAGCAAAGCAGATGACTGAAACACTTCAGATATTTCTGTAAACGTATATCCATATTCTTTGATATCTTGAATTAATATTGCAAGCATTGAAATAAATTAGTTATTACGGCGGTAGCTGTACCGTAGTGTAGTGGCTATCGCTCTAATGCCAAAGTTGCGCATCGGCATGCTTCTTCTGCAGGTACAATTCATCGGTACGTTTTAGCTGCTGTCTGTAGTACAGCCTGTGAGTTTTCCGTAATAATCAAACGGCACAACGAACCCCTCGGATGGTAAGTGTGAGCGGATTGAAAACGGCTGATGCCCATTTTCTCATACAAGGTGCGAACATACTGTAACCCCGCTTGTCCATCAGTACACATCGAATGTCCGGTGCATCATCATCTTCGGGTTGACGCGGCAAGTTAGACAGGGCACAGCGGAAAGCACTGCGGGCGATTTCTGATTACAAGGAGCGGGTTACACCCGAGCTGTATCAGAAACTACGCATCCTGCCGGTGTACGACCGTTGGAAGCAGTCTGAGGCGGGCGGCAAAGGAAACAAATCCGTCTTTATTGGGCTGACCTTCACATTAACAGCAGTGAAACACAACCAGCAAAGGTACGGTGTCCATACAATATTCTTAAACTGTAAGCGTTTCCTAAATTATTGTTGTAAGAGATTGATCATACCGGACAAATTAAAAAAACGACGAAACAAGGTAAAACTTTTTCTACTATCCACCGAAATTATCTGTAGGTATAACATGACTGTAGTGGAGCCACCAAACTTTGAGGAGCTTTGCCAATGTAATTGTAAACAAAAGAAATAAGAACCGCAGCGTAAATTCAGCAGCAGACAAATTTAAAATAATAATCGCACTCGTAGCATTTCGTTAATTGAAGTTAGCGTTTAGTCGCTAACTTGTTTTAACGACGCGAGAGAAACGCCGGCACGGCTGATCTCTCATTTTGCGGCTTACGAACAATAGGCTTTGTTCGGATCACCTATAGCCTTCAGTGGGTTGCCTGGAATGTGAAGTTACCTGTTGCACGCGGAACGCTTGCCTTATTCACTATATGCAGCGTTGGACCTGCTCCATTTACCTGCGTTAGGCAGCATTCTGGTTGTCTGGCACGATCTGTATTTGCCATTTTGTCTTTTGCACGCGGACTGGAATTTGGAAGCTGTTCAGTGATTATCGAATGTGTTTTTGCCGTGTTATTGCAATTTACCCGCCTTCCCACCCTGTCGCTTGCTTCTGATGTCTTCCAAGCTTATCGTTATGTAGCAAGTTAGCAACTTTGTTTGCAGTACTGTACAAATTCTGATTAAAGGTCTGACCTCACTCGGCCAGCTCACTTGCTATGGTGCGCGCAGAACCACACCGGAAGGCAGTCTCATTCCCCTGGCCACGAATCAGGTGGTGGTCCCGACTCCCTAGGTGGGAGTCACCTGGCCACGTATCAGGTGTCGCCAACCTCCCTGGCCACGAATCAGGGAGGACACCTGGCCACGCATCAGGTGTCTGTGATGGCATACACGCGCATACGCATACGCATACACTCCTTCCCGGTGGCCGTGCATGTTCTGACGATACCCGAGACTCCGCGGCCGAGCTGAGGCTGGCCATTTGCCCCAAACCATTTGTCGGCGTTTCTCGAGCATAGTCGTTAATGCAAATTCGAGAAAAAGGAGTTAATTTTTTTTATTGTGCTAACATATTTCGCCAGTTGTATTGATGATCCCTCCGACTTGCAAAATCAACGCTATCGGCGCCAAAAAGTAGAACACGAGATACAGCTTCCCCCAACAAAGCCCGAGCACTCGGCGGCATCCTCCCTGTTCATTTCGTTGCTACTGCTAGCTGTGCCCTTTCCAGATTGTAGCTGGGGCTTTTTCTTGACGGTGCCCAACAGAAGACGTACGAGTTTCGCGCCGTACTGCTGTCAGTGCTGTCAGCCGTGTCTGTTTGCATGGTAATCATCGTACACGGCGATTGTACCGGTATGATGGTGGACACCTTGGCGAGGACGGAGTAACACAACCAACACGCACTATTTGCTTAAGGCGACCACTATGAGATGACTTTTCGTTTAAATATGTTTCGAATTTTAACATCAGCTTGTAGGAAATTTTTCGGGCTTCCAGAGAGTGTGCCCCGATACGGCATAGTAAACTGTGATCATAAGTTATAAGTAAAAAAACAAGGCTGGGTCAGCTATATACCGACACTCCGCTATAGTCCAACAAAGCATGTCTGAATACACTCCCAAAAACACTTTTCAAAAAGTGTTTTTCTCAATTTTTTTGTAAGTGAACAACATTTTTTATTAGCATGTTGGAGAATATAAGCTTTTCAGGCTAAAACACATCCAGTGATGTGTATTGCATCTAATTCGAGAAAACTTTCTCATTCAACTTTTGATTCCAAAGTTTTTTCTTTGTTTCTTGAATAGCTCTGTCTAGAGAGAGCGCAGACAAGATCGCAGCACACCATTGTATAGCCAAACCCTTTGCGCATGCAGACAGAACAATGGCAACAGTGATTTTTTAGCTGTTTTAAACTTATTCGTGTTTTCCCAGACCAACTTTCATCTCATAGGGATCCCCTTAAGAAAACATGGAAAGCAATAAATCATTAGGTTGTCGCTGCAAGGCCGATACCGCGCTTAAGATGTCCATTGAAGCCGTTGGAGGATTAATAACAGCGAGAAACTTATGTAATATTTTCGTGCGCCCGTTTCAAAGCACTGGACAATATGATCGGCGAAAAACAAAATAGTTAAACATAACGTCATGAAAGAGTGCATGATCAAACAGTACGTAGACTGTACATTAATATATACAACAGAATGACTTCGCAAAACAGGAACAACAAAATAAAAAATCCACCATCAGGCCAGAGTCTGTATCTTAGTATGTAAACTGAAACCCGGTCCTTCTCACACCAAGAAGACACCACCGTGTGGGAATTCAGTTCTCCGAAGCAAAACTGTTTGAACAACACGCGTGTGTCAGCACTAGTCGGGAAATTATGACACTTTGCACTGCTCTCACCAGGAATCACGCATAGTTTAGTGTAAGTATCCTGTCGTATCGAAGTACATGTACGGTACTCTTACCGGCAATCAATCAAGCGCTTTTACAAGTAGGATGGCAGCTGCTGTTTCCCTAACCCAACTGGAAGATAACCCTGGTGAGTGTGCTCTCCCTTTCTGTTCCTATTTGATCATTGCGCAAAACCAGGTGGTAATACGCAAATGCAGCGGTAACGAGGAGCCCATATTCCTTGAACAGCTCAAGTTACTTGGCGGCGAAATACAGACTGTCACTTCAAGCCGTGTTTGAATTGCTGGAGAGGACGCTGTTTGGATTCGGCGTATCACTGGAATTTAAACAACTATGTAATTAGCTAACATAATTACCTACCGTATTAATAAACTATCGCGTTCGCACACTCCTAACATTTTTGCATGTTTGCGCAGAAGCATAGCGAAATCAATAGTATTGATTATACTGGCGGGTAAACGTTTTATGCGCGCAACATCCGGTTGCGGAAATAACAGCCCGGGAAATTACATTTCCAAACGTTTAAAGACAAATAGATATGTGTACCAAAGCTGTCATTATGGATCAATTTTCTTCCGGTTTACTTGTAAATATGAATTCGTTGTGATTAGAGTTAAAACATTTTTTTAATATTTTATTATGAATACTTTATTATTTTCAATGTTTGAAATATAGATTCTAATGATTTTGAATGTTTTCTCAATATCTGAAATTCGACATTTTTAATTACCGCGCAGGGGTGTTATTATTTGCACTGGTTAATGTCGAAATAAAAAGAGTTATGTAGTATGTATGACAAAGATTGCGGTCAATACTAATAAAATAGCGCACACAGTAAACGGCGCGGCAACTGCTCAACCACCTTGTTTTCCAGCCGTTTCCGGAAAAGTGGAGCCAACAAATGAATCGATTACCTTTTAAAACAATTAACCGCTTAACTTGGATTATAACTCCAAATAAATTTCGGTATTTTTGGATAGAATTTATTAACAAAACACAATAGAAAACTATTTCATTCGATAGCCATTAAATGAAATTAAATTTCTTTAAAAATAAAAACGAATGCACTTTTCACTGATTTACCTTTGCAGTCCACTGTTTATTATTTGGGTCAAAAAGAATATTAATTAAATTGTTACCTTTTCTTCTTGCACCATGAGAGCACGTGTTAAATCGCGCCCTATTACTTTCGCTTCTACGAGCGAGCTTCGCTTTGGTTTGATGGTAAAAAGCAAGGAAACAAATATGCCCTGAAATTACAGTGATTTAAGTTGGCTTTTACCGATGGACACGGTGGGTATCAAGCAGTTGACGAGATATTTCTCGTAAACGAGGCAGTCGTAGGGCAACGGTGCGCAGTAATCCTTACAGCATTGTATGACATTGTTGTTAGCGGACTAGTGTTCCCAAGGTGGAAGCGATGCTGCTGACACTGGCGCGGGTCGCACACTCGGCAGACCGCTGAGATCCCGCAATGAATATACAGCAGAAGCGACGGCATCATGGCACCGGCGTGGGACAACTTGACACATACAGTAATTCCCGTGGCATCCACAGGAATTATGTGTCATGTTGTCCTACGCCAGTGCAGCAGTGCGCACTGTTTGACCGTCGCTGTGCAAGGCCGTTCCGATAATAAGCACCGGAATAAGAATTACAACAAGCACTGTTGGTAGCCAGGCTACCAACATAGTGTTTGTTTCAATCCTCATAAAACAAGCACTCTTGGTAGCCAGGCACCAACATAGTGTTTGTCTTAATTCCTAGTGCGGTGATCGTAGCCAAGAGGCCCAGTAAGTGACGTCAGTAAAACGTTGGCGCACCATATTTACAGGTCAAATACAAGACGGCGGCATTAAAGAGAACCAAAGCCGTCATAAGGAAAATTAGAGGATTTTGTCCAGGCCGGTAAGCCAATGCGCTTCGGTCGTATGGTTGGCTGATATTTTTAAATCCATTTTTGATTAATTGCTGGAGGAATCCGCCGAATTATAGCACTTACAAATTAAAACTGCTAGGTCCAGAATATTCCTAACGCATAAACAGACAGTAACTTCTTTGCACCGCTTCCTAAATCATTGCTGTCGTGGGTGAAAGGGAATTAAAGTTGGTACATTGCTGCTCGATCGGGAAAAGAGCGTTAAGAGAATCGTACACAGTAGGCAGTCTTTTTTACATGGGAATTAGACAGCCAGTCGACGACAAACAAGGAACGGTGACAGACAGCTTGAATTCTTAATCAAGTGTGCAAGCAGGTGGCATCTATCAGCGGAAATATTAAACCAATCTTCCTTTGTAAACATTTCCTCTTCGCATCCCTACACGAAACGATCGCACTTGATGAATAATTTATTGAATTGCTTGCATATCGAATTACTGGGTTTTCTCCAACCCGCAGAAATTTGACAGCAGTGCTGTGCAAACACCAACGAACGGCAATTACTCTGAACAAACTGCGCCTATAATTTGGCCGCATTTGTTACCGGTAACGGTTTGTGGTTGTTCGTGGGTTTGTAATGTCTAATTTTACCGTTCACAGAGAAAGCTTTATTCTTGTTAATCATTACTGTTCCTTGTTAAATACTAAGCTTACCAAACAAATAAGCTGATATTTCTAAGAGGCACGCATGTAAAAACTGGAAAAAATGCGAAATTCTCAATTGTCACAAGGAACATCTTTTGTACGTACTCACGGAATGATACTAACATTTTTTTGAAAGCATAGTATATATTTGGAAGAAATCCATGATAATGGTATAACCTTATAAAAGAAATCCCAGCCTATAACGCTGGGGAACACATTTTTTACACTGTTTCGGAAAGATTTTTACTTCACATTTTTACACCATCCATAAATTTTTCAGCGTTTTGTAGAACTGGCTTTGAATGAAAATATAGTTTCTGATGCTAGCTTTGCAGACGCTTCAGACGCCACTTGCCCGTTCCGCGGGCCGCGATCGGGTATGATCCGGTGGACGTCGCGGGTCATTTGAGCAGTGTTGTGACGATTTCCTATCACATATGAACATGGATGGACTTCTTGACATTAAGTAGCACTCCAGAACGGCCGTTGTCAGCGCACTACACATCTGAATGGTCTGAACAGTAAAATGACGTTGTTTTCTTTATAGCCTTGGGAAATTTTTTTCAGTTATTTAACTTACGCACTGTGGCACAGGCAAGTAGATGAAGTTCCGTGTCTGGCGGGAAAAGCATTAGTTTCAATGGTGCTAGGGGCAATATTAACAGATACTGTTCAGGACGTCTACCAAAAGTCATGCCGATGTCAGCACAATTTCACAATAGAATATTTAATACATCGCTTGGCTGAAAAAATTCACTACCGCTATGCAGCCGACACGAACCGGTTTCCATTTACAGAAGTTTTGTCTTGCAGTTGTTAACAGTAATTTTGTCAGCTAAGTCTTCAAATAAGCGAGCATTCCCGCGATTGCTGATTTATACAGATCCCGAAAGTATAATGCACCCTTGGACAAACTGCGTCTGGTCTGCTCTTCTTTTGAAACTACTGCGTTACAGCACCGGCAAAAGCTTAGGTTAATATCGACATTTATTTGGTGAAATGAGATTTTTTACGGCCGTTTAAGCATTTACGTATTTTTAAACAGATGACGGGTTCCAGAACGACAATGCTGGGATGTTTAGGCCGCTTCCGAACTTCAACACCGAACTGATGACACGTGACCAGTGTGAGCTGCAGTTCACCGCCCACTGCGGAGTGCGCTTCAACGTTAGCGGCTCTCTCGCGTGCGCGCAGAATCAAGGGCTTGCCATTAACTGCAGCAGCCAAGCCTCAAACGAGGAAGTGAGGCACCTGGCGATAGCGCTATGCAAACCGCCGCTGAAAGCGGTGTTCATCAGTCTGAATGACGGACCCCTAGTCGTTTTCGAAAACGTGGCGCCGGTGCGCGAACAGACGGTTGTCTTCCAACTGCATAACTGCCGTTCTACGCGCGCCACCAAGAAATTGGCCCAACTGCGCCTGCCGCATTTGCTGGAATTCAGCGTCCACAACTGCCGCGCCTTGGATGTAAGACTAGCCGACTTTTGGCAGTCCGCCAAACTCCGACTCATCCAGTTCGCCAACACCACACTGAACGTCCTCGAAGAAGGCACCTTTGCTGATTTGCCTGGACTGCGACTGTTGTCGTTGGAGCGCGGATTAGTCGAAATGTTGGAGTACCCCGAAGATATTCACAACTATATAGTGAGACTGCATTGCGGCTGTGAGTTTAAGCAGTTCCGGCGCTGGTTTAGCAACAGCGGATTAATGCAGTATGCGAACGAAGGGCAGATTTACCGCATCGAATACGACTCGTGGCGCAACGAAGATTTAGAGTTCGACAATGTTTTCCTGCCCATCGACTGCACCGAAGCAGCGTTCCCGAATAAAACGCTTGCAATTCGGAGTAGTCTTTACTCGTTTTCGGTTAACGAAGACCTTTGTGAGTTGGACAAGCTATTTCTGACTCCAAATTCACCGTACATGCTCGAGAGTTATGCAAATTGTTTGTACTTTGTAGATAATGATCCCTTCTCATCACGGTGTGAAAATCAGACCAAAACCGTTGACGAGTCCCTCAGTTTCTCGAGCCAACCGATGACTGACAATGAGTGCGCCGTGCAACTGCTCAATCAGTGTACTTCTATGCAGCGGGATTACAGTTGGTGCGACGAGCACTGGCCACACGACCCATTTGTGGATGTCAACTGCACGGACGATGAACGGGTGCGTGAGACGCGCGAGGTGGCTAAGGCGCTGTCACGGCAGCCACCGCGCCCGACGGTCTGGACTTTTTACGGAAATCTTCCCGTTGTGTCGTCCGACATTGCGCCGATTCGACAGACCATCTTTTTATTCGAATTATTCAACTGCATCAGCAGTCGTTCGACGGCGCTACCTGGTGATTTCGGTTTGACCAGTCTGTTGCACTTTAGTATTTGGTACTGCAGCGATCTGGACGTGGAGCGTGACGATTTCCAACGCCTTCAAAAACTACGCATCCTGACGTTTGTCAATACCACGATTCGCAGTCTACAGAGTGATTCCTTCAGTGATCTGACAGCATTGAGCTTGTTGAGTCTCGAAGCCTATGACTTTAACCCGTTTAGCTCTAACCCGGCACGGGACTTTGAGCCGCGATATCGCGAGTATTTGTGGCGATTGCATTGCGGCTGCGATTTCGCGTGGTTCCGCCAATGGTGGACGAACAACACGCTGCTCCTGCACGAAAACGATACAGTATGGGGTGAAGTGTACACCTTCCGCGGTTTTGCCACCAGCTCTCCGTTGTCTCGTCGAGACATCTATCTGCCGATTGACTGTGCAATACCAATTCCGCGCAGCGTCTATGACGTTAAATACAATGAAACCGCTTATTCACGACACGCAGAACCGTGTAAGGTACAGTAACCAATACGTCCTGGTTTCACGAGGGTTCGTCCATCGATAATTTGATTTGTCTCTACATTTTGCGCTGTTTATGGCAAACTGAGCAGAATATTTTAATCGTTTTTTTTCAGCTTTTACGTTCATGAACTAATGTGTAAAATGTGAATCCAGTGAATAGCAAAGCACAAAATTCCTCTCGAGGTGTCTTACTGTTACTCGGCGTGTCTTACTGTTGTTTCTTAATCTCACGAAGTGTGCCTACCATGTATTTTCCAAGATATACGAAAAATCGAAGTACAGATATATTTCTGATTTTTACTGTTAGACGGATTAGCAATGAAGTCATCATAGTGATGCACGAACCACGTTCAGCAGGTATGTTCTGCCCGCATCGATGTGCGGGCGTACAAGCTTGTTTTCCATCGCATCAAAATAGCGATATACGAATTCACGGGTGACGCCAGCTCCGTACTAGGACGCGCCACGCCACACCCTTTACTGTAAAACGCTACGGTGCATTTGAAATAGCTGCGTTTGATTGTTTTTTTAAAATTCTTTTAACTGTTGCGATTTCTAATCTCTAACTATTTATGATCTGGCTACTTTGATTTGACCGAGGATAACGGAAATTAAACTTATCATTGCGTAAAACATTCACATGGTCCGATCTTTGATTATTTTTGGGTTTGGAATACAACTGGGCCAGAGGGCTGAAGATACTTCGACAGCTGTTTCTAAAAATTGTTCCAACGGCCAAAGTAAGCCAAATACACAAGCTGGCGCATGCAAAATGGTACAGGCTCAAACTAGTGCGTATGCAGAAAGCAGGAGAGTTAATTTTCAAACCTATAAACGCTTACTCGGCATCAAGAGTACATACCTAATATGTTTCAGCCAAATAGTCCTGCTATCGGGAAAAATGGCGAAAGATAAAACCATTTGACAAAATACTGTATATAAGCAAATTAGAATTTTTGCTCGATTGAATTATGGTACATACTTCTGGTCTTAACGCCAGTATCCTCCCTTTTTAATAGCGTCGCGTAGCAATTGAGTCACCCTCTACTGGAACAAAATAGATGGGCGGCCAGTCTGTGTAGAATCCGATAAGGTACACTACCGTCGCCACTGCCGCTGCTGTGTGGGGAACGAATAGGAAAAACACCGCGTATATTTCCCCTTTGCTGCTGGCGAGCGTGATAAATACTATTATTATTTCCATGAACACCAGATAAACTCCAAACCCCCCGACAATAAGTGCCTCAACACCACGCGTCCGCAGCGCTGGTGCTGTCCAGTCCGTAACATTCATGCGGGGACAGTAGCCCAGTTGTGACATGTCGTTACCTGGAAGACCACTTGGAGAGAGTTTTGCGTTTTGTCAGAGTTAATAGACTCACTGCAATGCAGCTGGAAGCACCATTTTCTCATGACAATCGCCAGCGAATCGTTACGATCGATGCGGTTGGTCAGTTGGCGTTCGTCGGTAGCGTTCAGCAGCTCCGCCGATGGCTGGAAGGTGCGGCCGTTCCAGTCAACGGTTATTGTGCCTCCGGCAAAGGAAATCAGTCCGTTGTGTTTGGGTTGACCTTTACGCAAGCAGCGGTTAATTACAATCAGCAGATGTACAGTTTCCATCATAAATTATTTATCGCCGTTCCCACAATATTTGTTGTGCTAGGGCAAATGTATCCCTCTCAAGATTCAAGAAAAATTATAAAAGAGAAGAGCTATTATTTTGGAATTTATATCGATAATATAATATACCATCGATATAAATTGTTAAAAAATATAGTTATAAAGTTATAAATCTTAATATTATTATAATTTAGATTAATATGTGGCATGCATCAGACATGCCACATGCATGTAGAGCGTGAATAGTGTTGCGTGGCGCGCCGTAGTGTGGAGTGTACCGTGACCCGTGGAATTGTATTGTTCGCTGAACTGGAAAAATTACCGGACAAGCTTGCAAGTATAACCACCCATAAATTAATTATTCACGCTTGCAGTAATTATATCAGTGAAAATTCAAGTAAAACAATTTTTTGTTATTACTCGTATGTACTAACATATTTCGCCAGTTGTATTGATGATCCCCCGGGCTTGTGAAAGCAACCATATCGGCGCCAACAAGTAGAACACGACATACAGTGCCCCACCAATGAATTCCACACACGCTCCGTTAACCTTCCAGGTGCTCTCGTCGCTACTGCTCGCTGTGCTCTTTTCACTGCGTAGTTGGTGCTTTTTGCTGACGGTAGCCAGCAGTCCACGTACTAGTTTCCCGCGGTACTGCTCCGTCAAACGCCGCACCTTCGGTACAATCCCGTCGTGTGGTCGTACCGTGGAGTCAGATGTTTCTGCATGTATGGTAGTCACTGTCCATGGTGAAAATACCGGTATGGTCGTGGATACCGGAAGCGACGTTGCAGTCTCACACCCCACACGCATTATTAGCTGAATACAAATATGGAAAGCATATAAACAGAAGAAGCATTTAAATTTAGAAGATGTCGCCGCAAGGTCAACAGCGCGCTTAAGATATTCACTGCAGCCTTTGATGGATTGATGATAGCAAGGAATTTAATGTTTTCGTGCGTCCGTTTTACAGCAGTGGACAATAAAATAAAGCAGCAATGCACGAACCGGTGTCGCGCAGCATGAAAGAGGAAGTACATGATCAAGCTGTACGTACAGTGGTATAGCCAACAGATTGGCTTCACAGAAGAGGAAAACCAAATTATTAAAACAGCTTGTCAGGTGACAGTCAGCTTCTTAGTAACCTCATTCGAGCACACTTAGGCATCACCAAGTGTAAATAAATTCTCCGGTGGAAGAGGATTTCTGATGCACATCTGTATAAACATCAGTCGGGAATTGATGGCACTTTGCAGTTTGCGCAACTCTCACCGGAAATTATGCATAGTTTAGCGTAGTTAGTATCCGAATGGTTGTGTCACAGATTCGCAGCACAGGTGCAGTACTCCGTACTGGCGATCGATCATGCATACAGCTGTAGTCAAGCCGAACACACTGAACAGCTCTGTCTGTTCAGCTTGACTACGATACAGCTTTTATTTCCCTAACCCAGCAGGAAGATGACCCTGGTGAGTGCGCTCTCCTTTGCCTTTTGATCACTGAGCAAAACTTGGTGATAATATGCTGATGCAGCGGTAGCGAGGCCGATATTCCTCGAACATCTCGAATTACTTGGCGGCGAAATACAGACTGTGTTTGAACTGCTAGACAGAACACTTGTTTGCGTGATGCTTTTCACAGTAATTTGAACAGCTTAGCTAGCACAAATAACTATTGATAAACATTCGCATTCGCGCAATGCAGATACCCTTTTGCATGTTTTGGACCACTGCATAGCCGAATCAATAGTATTTATGCACTGCAGGAAACCGTTTTGTGAGCCAACATCCAGAAAAACAAATAACCAGGGAAATTACATTTCCAAAGTTTGGGAAGCAAATAGACTTTATTATGGATCAGCTTTCCAGTTTTGCTCGTAAATATGAAGATCATTGTGACATGAAACCAGCGTTCCACGATTTCTTAACATTTCACCACCTTCCCCTTTCCGGAGTGAGAAAACAAACAAATAACGCGCAGGTGCAAAACTCGAGGAGAAAATGGAGTAATTGTAGAAAGAAGCTCTAAAAAACTGCTTTTCTATGATTTTTCTAAATGTCGGATTTTTTTCGAACTGCCGGGCTCACGGCCGTCCCCCCTTCCTTTGCGCTTACGCTGGCCCTCAGGTTAACAAGCTTGCTAGTCAAAAATAAAATTCTTAAAACGCTCACTTTGACATCAGAGGCTCACTGCACGCTTGCTTTCGTAACCGTTAGTAGGCGGCAGATGCAAAAATCTGCAGTCAGTTACTGCAGTCCCACAAGTGGATATTGAGTGCGTCCACGATGACATGTCGATTAGCAGCCGGAACATCCAACAGCGAGCACCATAATGAGCAGACGCGGAAATTCAGTGTCAAGTGTCAGGCTTTCTTGTCTGTTGGCTACATAATGTAGCGTACACATACATAATGCAGTGATTAAAATTAGGGAAATGTAACCTACATTTACCTAATTTTAATCACTGCAAGACAATTCCAGTCTTCATATTTTAAATGTGCTGTACTTGTACTAAAGACTCGCTTTAGGTAAATTTTAATATCTGTACGTTATTTAAGACTTAAGATCTGTGGGAAAAAATTTAATGGATTTCTTTCGTGCCTTTTGAAAATTTTCCGCGTACGTTCTCGGATTCTGTGCAGATTGATTTTGTGTGGCGAAATCTATATATTCCGGGAGATAGTGATAACTGTGTTTCTAATATGGTGAATGAACACCGTTAAAAAGGAAACCTATGATACTGCAAAAACCATTGGGAAACTAACTTCTTAACTTTACACGCTACAGATTGTAGTATACGGAAAATGGCGAGAATAAAAAGGATCACTTGATACGAAGCAGCTGTTCCATCACCTTTTTGAACCATAAGATGATTTTGGAGAAACCACCGTGAATGAACGACTGTTGTAAATCACGCACCTTTTCGCAGCAAATTTGAAAAGTACATCCAGAAGAAGGAGAATATCTTCCATGAGGGGAACCGGAAGTTGCGTAGGCCCTCTGCAAAATACGCGTCCCATTAGCGGACAAAATCATCATACCATTGCAATCTAAGCAAACAAGGTAAACAACTAGTGCCCTAACTCGGTGCCACATCCATTTCATTGGCGTAAACCGGCCTTTATGCTATGCCCATAGACAGCCGCAGCAAAAGTGTCCACGGTTAACCGTAAATGGCTAGAGTAGTACCGTAATTACTGTAAGTGGTTAGTGACTGGTTGTCATTTCGTCTCTATGTGCATATACACTGTACCGGTAAAAGCCAATCCGGTAAATTGAAGCGCATCTACAAAGCTACAAATGCAAACTCATGGGCAGCACAACTCGATGCTCACACAGTCATACTAAACTCCATACCCCGGCGCGCACTGCCACACTATTCACCCTCTGCATGGTTTTACACAGCATGAAATTTGAATGATGCATGCCAAATACACTATCGGCACAAAAAAAACCGATATTATTTGACTTTGCTTCTTTATAAGTATAATTTGATGTTGTGGTAGGCGTAATGCAGCATTCTGGTTCCGTATCGAAACAGCATTTTATTTATGTGCGTGAACTCAGCAGAATTAAAAAAATTTCGGTGCATAACCAGACTTTTGATAGACCGATTTCTGTTTCACCTTTTCGGATACTCACAAATCTCCAACCTAATTTGTATTAGCGCACACATGCGGATTTACGCCAATGTTTTACATCATTTTTCTGTAGAATATCACGAGCACTATGAACAAAAGTCAAAGAGTGCGCGAAAGGTAAAAATTAATATTCTTGAATGTCACCAAATTTAGTGCCATGTGCCGGGTGATCCCTTGTACTTGTGAAACATACAGACCAGTTAAAATTCGTGCGAATATCACAAACGACAGTTACCGCCGTTCACAATCTCGAAAGGAACGGACGGTGTGTTAACAGTCGGGATGCGTATTGTTGCAAATTCGCTGCAGTGTGTTTTCCAGAATCAGTCAAGGTCGTCGCGGAAACATGTCGCATCCCACCGCTTTCCCTGAGTGCGCCGCTCACCGCAGACAAAGGTCACCGTATCCTTACCGGCTCGTATATAATAAATTTGTTTAATAGGGATCATATCCGTGTATTCGCTGAAACTGCGTGTGCGGGCATGCTCTGATTCCAAATCAATACACGATTTCACTATCGGCAGGTCGGCGGTTTGTATGCAGCCCGCACTTTCGAAGGGAATGCCGTGGTTGGTCCAGACAAAATCAACACAGCTATCGGAGAACGGCAACTGGGCTCCCGGAGGTCCTGCCTCTCTGTACAGCCACACTGAATGACCAACAGCTCAGAAATATTGCTTTTGGTCAACGAGGTCATCAGAATTTGTAAAGAACTTTTAAACACGACCACTGCCACCAAGTTGGGTGGGTTGAGCCGCTTATTTCCTCTGGCCTACTTTGATTATCATTTCCCTATTATTCGACAAGCGTTCTCAAAGTAAAATCCTCAAGTGCAAAAGACGTCGGATACCCAAGCTTGCCTTAAGGCAACTAAGAAAAAATTAAATAAGAAAGTATTTTATGACGGCTGACCCATGCTAATTTTTTGAAAAACTGCCCCAACTTGGCTGAGCAGGGCTGTAAGAGGTCTTCTTATTTATAATTTTAACTTGCTCACTATTTTAACTGGCGACGTTGCAGACGAGAATAGCTTATCTTTTTCAGAAAAGTTCTGTTGATGTCGGGTGTTAACAAAATTCTCTATCGAACGAACCTGAATAATTAACAGTGCGGCAACCGGTTCGCGACAACAAAGTACAAACCAAAACGATAGACAATATTGTGCTTGCTAAGCGCTAGCCGCTCTCCCACTCTTGGTTTCTATTGGAACACTTCCAGATTTTTTCGGGTTATGATTATGCATTTTTCAAATTTTAAATTCGTTCGATGATAAGAATTTCTGAGTTACAAAAAAAAACAGATAAACACACGAATTTACCGATGTGTCATGTGCGTTCCACTGCACTCTTCGAAAGCTCACAAGGATACGCTTCCAAGTAGTTATGCATATCACCTTAATTTCAGGTTAATAAAACCTTGCGGGAATCATTTTAAAAATATTTTAGGGCTTCAAATTTATCTATGTGCCAGCAATAGGAAAATTTTTTAGAAAGTTAGAACAATAGCACTATTTGGTAATTTTGTTTCGAAACCAAGACAATATCTAAGATATTTTAAAAAAGCTAAATTATGAAATCTATTTCTGAAATTTTTAATTTAGGATATTTCAAATTGTATGTGAAATTGCAAGTAAAATAATTTTAAAAAATGATTTGGGATTCACTAAAAAGTTCAGAAAATTGATTTAATATCACTTCAAAATTCTTAAATTTCTGAAAAAAAATTGTCGACTCAGATAATTTCCGTTACGGGCTCGCGGGTAGCCGTTATAACCTAGTTGCGGCCAGCATACTAACATTGCTTTGTGGTTATGATCTAACAAGCCCTTCGTACCATATGCATTGGGACCAGGAGCTCTCTATAAACTATACAACAGTAGTTCTACTTTTCGATTTGAAGTAGCAACGACAAACCTTGAACATATGCGGTTTCAGAAGAATCATCAACGAATATCTGGCTAATTTCAGAAGTGCGATAAACTAAAATATCATTGCCACTCATATACGATACCTTAAAAAACGGTCCTAGCAGATTAATATCAGCACATAATTCGGAATCTTGTGAAACTACAAAAGACCAGTTCCACGTAGATTCTATTCAATTAAGCAGAAGCTTTTTATTGAATTATCATCGGATAACAAAATCTGATGCAATATGTCGATCTTTTCTCTAGAATATATTGCCATACACATACGCTGGATATTAAAGTGATACAAAACGCCGCCAGGTGACAAGGTTTTTTATTGTTCATATGACTAATAATAACTTTAACAAGCCAAGCATGCAACTAAACATTGAGACCGAGAGATTGAATAGTTTGGTAGTTGTTGTTATCTTGACAGGTATAATCAGAGTATTTGAGAAACCATTGGCTTTTCGTATTTAAGGCAGGGGATAAAAGGTGGCAGTGGCACCTGCCACTGGCAACTGCCACCGTCAGTGGCAGTTGCCACTACGCGTTCTGGCAAGCGATAAAACGTGGCAACTTAAAAAACTCAGAATCAGCTTGAGTCTTGTGCCTGCGCTTTCCAGTGCACTGAGCGCTGCAACGCTGTTCAGCAGACGCGACTCTCGGGGAATACTCCTAAAATCAGTGCCGCTAACGATCAAAGCGCGGTAATGCGACGGTATTACAAAAGCGTTTCATTCGTGCATTCAGATAACAGCAGGCAATTTCGAAATCCAGTCTCATGGATGACACATCAACATGTCCTGATCGGCTGAACTATAATCTGTCACCTCTTGATTATCGTGGCTTAAATCAAACGACTTTGACAAAGGAAGGGAAGGTGGAGGGAGGGAAGGGAAGAAACATACCGTATCTGTCATAAAAAACACAACGAAAATTTAGAAAAGTCGTTGTGTAGCGATAAAAATTTTTCGCTTGAGTGCTGGCAGTGCACGAAGGCTGATACGAGTGCTTAAAACTGCAGTTCCATGCAATTCCCTCAAAAACCTTTATGCTTATTTTAAACACAAACGTTATGTGGCGCACAATACTCGTACGCCACATTAATAACAATTAAACACGTTTAATTGGACATTAATGTGGCACATGGACGGTTGTCGCGCATATGTGCAAAACACCACCTGAGAGGCTCAAAGTCTTTAGTTCCGCCCCAGACTATTAGTAAGACATTAAAGGGGAAAAGGCCAGAGCGGTTGATTCTGGCAGACAAGAGGGCGTCCGCCTATAAATTTACTAGTCGCTGTTCAAATAGTCGTTATTCTGGTTGTTTCGATTTGTTTATCATCTTCAATGAGCGAACATTCGATATCGACTCGAGATGATATGGATTCGATATCATGTTGAGATTCGATATCATTCCGTATGGATTCGATACGGACTCTCTCGTATTAAAAGTGTTTTTCATAATAAAGGATTGTTATAACTTATAACTGACGTCAGTGACGTAAACCATCTGCATACGCGCATTTTTTTTAGAAAATCAATTTGATATCACTTCAGTCAGAGCAGGTAGCCCATTTCCGGCTAAGTTGACACTCTAGCATGGAATTTCAAACCTGGCTGATCAACAGAAATTCAAATCAGAAGACACAAGCCCGTAAAAAAGCATTAGAAAAAGGTAGCAGTGTGCAAAGCGGCTTTGAAACAAATTAGAGAGTGCAAATTCAAAAACGTCACTACCACAGCAAAAAATGTTGTGCTTCAACTTGCTCAGTCTTCAAACAAGGGTTGTTTCTCGAGCACAAGACTGAGCATCAGCTGAGGTGTCCATGATTAAGTTCTATAATTTGCATTTGTGAAGGAACACAGATTTTCCCTAAAAACAGAACTTATCGTTGGATGGCACAAATCTTCTCAAACTGATTCCTAATTTTTCGAGTTGCCACTTTTTATCGCTTGCCACAACGCGTGGTGGGTGGCAACTGCCGTTGCCGGTGGCAGATGCCAGTGGCAGGTGCCACTGCCACCTTTTATCCCCTGCCCGTATTTAAACCCTTCGACCAGCGCAATGTTTTATCGCAATTGGAGACTTGGGAAAAATAATCGAATATCTATATAGCAAACGTTGAACACATAAATGGCGTAGTATGGAAATATTCAAATCTTAAATTATCTAATTACTGTAATATCTCAATTATTGTATAGCGAATTTCAAATCACGTTTATGTTTTTTTTACGTTAGAGGATTTAATTCCTATCGAAAAAAGCTTAATTCTCAGTGAGCTGAAAAGCCTGAAATCGTCATACTCTAATATTCACAAAATCAGTCTTAATCTAATAATTACTCCTAATCAAAATCGTCTATACTGACACTCTACTGGTCAGAAGCGTCAGTTCCTTAAGTTAGACGTTGAAAGCTACAGAAATGATTTTGCACAGAAGCAAAGTCAGTTCTTCGTACCGTCGTTATTTCGTTTATCTCTGCAAACATTTGATTTAAACGATATGGTTCAATTATTAAGATATAGTATTTGATTTAAAATTTCAGAAATGCTTAAAAGTATAAGGGGAAAAACGATTGTTTTAAATATCTGAAGATACAATAAAGATGTTTAATAATATTTTAAAAAATTACGACATTTCCTTAAATCTTAATCGTAATATTTACATATGTAAACGTTTCGCGTACGTAAAGGCATTCAAAAATATTGTCAGCGATAAATAATTTTTTTTAGACTGTTCAGAATAGTTTAGAAAAATTCTAAAGCATTTAAAATTTTTCTAAAGTATTAAGAAATTCTCTTGGGAATTCAGGTTGGGGCTAAGTTCTCGAACTATTTTCGAATCCCGCAAATATAGGAAAGATCAAAACTTTGGATTGAAAAGCGACTCAAAGTTTACGGTCGCAGAGTCTTAAAACAGTTTTTAGGGTCGGGAACCAAGGGTCACTAAATGCCACACGGCGATCTAAAAGTCAGAGTCGCCGTGTCTTAGAACCGCAGTTTCGGGGTGTCTTAAGAACCTTATGTGCTTATGTAAGAAAAAACGCGGGCTCGCTTCGCTCGCCCGCTCGATTAATGGTAAGAAAATGCAAAAAAGTTGTGTAATCAGTGCTGTAAGTAGCTCTGAAATTGCTGTGACCCGTACTACCCGGAACACTCAGAATTCAAAAAACTTTGCAGTGCAAATGCTTGTGTGTAGAACGCTGTTATTGCCATCTTGCCATGTGCTGTAACCTACCAACTACTCCATTGTTCCAAAGAAAAATCTTATATTCGCAAATTCTTTGCAAATTATCTCTGAGTTAAACTGTAGTAATGAGTGTAAAATCTAGCAACAGCGGTGCGTCTATACTTTGCTAACTGAACATCAAAAACACTTTTCTTTCTCAAACTACCAATTTTCAAAACTGTAGTTCCATCTCTTCTAGTACCCGGTTTTCCTGGGTTAATGGACGGAAGTAGAAACATCGGGGCGCCCGGTCATGTATCCCGGACGAATGGGGAAGGGTCCGTCGTCCGCGTCACGGATTGTCACGGATTGCCACGTGAGCTACGAAAACGCATTGTGGCAATCCAACAACGTTTTCGGTTTCAGAATTGAGGAACCGAAATTGTAAGGATAAACATGGCGAGCATGTATCCAGCACGCGGCCACCGTTCAAGACATGAAATCGATAAGGTACCTCTCGCTTTCAACGTCCTGGATTCGCCCCAGCCACCAATCGCCATTCTTCCGCTGAACAACCACAAAATTCATGAATTTGTAATATGATGTGTTTGAGCACTTATTTTACGATAAGTTCCAAGAAGTTTCTAATACGTTTCAGGAAATTTTCGGATTGTGAAAACTGCAGGCAAAGATAACTTGGTGGCCATGCTGTAAATATGAAACAGCCAACGGTCGCGTAGTAGTGAAAGTTGCAAGTGAGCGTCGGATCCTAAACGTATTAAAACTACATAATGCCGTTAAAACAGGATGCCGACCAGCAATGCGCTGGACTTGCCTTTGACCACTTGTCTCTTCTGTTTCGTCATTACTGTGCACAACATTTCTCGGTCAGCAGAACGTCAGTTGTCAACAGCCTGCAAGTTGTATGTTAAGCCGCCAGTTCTTGGTCAGCCTGCATTTGCTCACTGGATGACCCGGTTTCGTTGAATGCATTTCAGAAAAAGCTGTTTGAATTTGGATACAAGCTGGACTCCAATACTTTTAGGACACTGCGAGATAAGTAAGATAACTTTGTAAGAATCTGCTGTATTTCCTTTTCCTTTCCTGTTTTCGTGCCCACAATTTAATTTCATAGAAAACAATTTGCTGCCCAATTCGTGTTCATCGTTTATTTTTTCGCACATGGGCAGGCATTAACTGCAAATTACGGCTCAAGGGGTGCGCAGAAGGTCCTCCTTTGTGTGATGCGTAGCAACGACCATCAATGCCTGAGAAAACTAATTACAATCTGTACAGGTTGCATCTTTGCCGGTAACTTTTGTACCAGAACCAGAATCCGATTTTCGCGCGTAGCGGACACACAGTAATCGTTAAAAATCGCGAAAAAAATTTAGAAAAATTAAATTAAATAAAAACAATTACTGGAGAGACCCTTGAAACATTTTCTTTACCGGTTAGAACGCATTTAATCTTGTAGATTTGGAAGTATAAAAACACACAAAACTCGTTAAATAATACACAAAAGTGTGTAATAACGCACATAACTGTCTTGATCTATGGACAATCATATGGATTGCGCATCAGACTGTTACAGATAATTGTGTACAGACTGTTACAGATAATTGTAGTAATTCCCTGTACATGGGCCCCATGTTCCCATGAAGTCGCTGCTCATCCGTTCAACAACTGAAATCCCTGTTCAGGCCTTAAATACTTTGTTTCGGGTTGTCAGTTGGTGTGTGCTGCGCAGCTGGCGTGTGCTGTCAGCTGGTGAGTGCTGTGCACATCAATGCACGGCGTGCATGAGGTGCGCAGCCCATACCAGCTGACCACCTTTTCCATAAATAGTCCGGCGAATAATCTAGCAGAACGGCGCTAAAGATTCCTCATAACTATCCTTGGATGGTCTACAGACGATCCAGAGGTATTTATGACGAATTATTTAGGGACTGTCTGGAAGGGCACAGAATTCAGGGAAGTAGGTTGTGGTATTTTCACTTAAACATCACCACGGAAGATGTCACCGTATTAACAGATGACTCGCCAACACTGCGACCGCAAAATCAAGCGCACCAAGGTAACGCTAGAAGTGTGAGAACTATAATTTCGAACATTAAAGTGGCTATCGCTTTTCCATTAGAGAATGGTTTAGCCTAAAAAAGGCTTTTACGCAACAGGTTTTTACAGAGAACTCCATGCAACTACGGAATTAAAGTACGCGCCATGCAACGCTCCTGAATGTCCACAAAGCACGAGACGCATGCATAACTGCTTGTGTTGGTTAATTATTTTCCTTGGTTACAATCAGGAAGTCTTAACGAACCTACCCGTAGCGATTGTACAGCGTACTACAGTTAATGCGAGTTGTGCAATACGGACGCTAGAACATTGATCACGCAACTGGTGTCGGTAACTTATCTCGTATTACGAAGTCCATTAGCTGAAACCGAACAATTTTATTTTCGAGCTTGTGAAGCCTTACATGTCTGGCATGGATTTTATGAGAACCATGTCAAAAACGGAGGATTTCATACTATGGACGAAGAGCTTTCTTATATTTGCACTTGGTCTCTAATCTTTTCTGCTCGTTTCTTACTCTTTCCAATTTTTTATTATGTTATCTGGGCCTAGCTCATGTTTACGGATGTTTTCTTAGTCGTCGCCCTCTTGACGGTCGACGTAGTGCTGTCGACATAGTGTCGGTCGACGAAGTGTTAGTCGCCGAAATGTCGGTGAGCCTCTCTTCACTACTCGGATGGGAGTCCGACAGGGAATCGGCAACTGAATAGTGCAGGATAGAGTTAAGGTGTCCTTCACTTTGGTGTCCTTTGGTGTCCTTCACTTCCCATCTATTTCCCGATACAGGATAGATCAGATGCAAAAGCTCCGAACAGAATCGTTGAGCTCAGGAAACTCAGGACAGAATCGTTATAAGTCTAACTTTTCGTAGTTACTACTTACCAGGCGGACTATATACGGATACTCTTATAAAATATAGACAGGACTACGTTTGTGACGGGTTGTCATAAGTATGTACTTGTACTCGTAGTATTATGTTGTCGATTTCATACGATTACTGACCGTAAATTGTGGTGGTCGTGATATTAAAGCTGTGGTACTCAGCTGCTAATGACCGTGCTTTGCTTCTGTCTTGTACCACCATCTGGACTCTGTGCAACTCGCTTTTATGCAACGAATACAGACTTTATCGAAAGCCATTAATATAGAAATAAACGAAGTACTGTACTTAATGTGTATGTCGCAGTGTCGATATGCGTTTATCTGGTTCGTTTAGGCGGCATCCATAAATTACGTAACGCAAAAATTCGACATTTTGATATCCCTCTAAGCAGGGCGCAATCCAAGGGAAACCGAGAAACGGCTGAAAAAGGCGCCGATGGGGGAATCGAACCCCGGCTACGTCGTTAGATCCGCGTAGGCAGTACCACTGCACCACGGCGCAATACGTTGAAATCCTTTGAAAGATTTTGTCGCTTTACGTGAGCCGCTTCTCCGCTCACACCCCCTTTGCAGCTTTCGCTACGTCCTCGTAGCGAGACTAAGCGATCCTTTAAGCGGCGGCTCCGGCTCACCGCATCCTCTATTCATTTTATCTTTTTATTCGTTTTTGCTCTGTTCCTCCCGTTTGAGGTTAGCACACCAGTCTCATAGGCGAAGTGGACGTACCGAACCACGCTCTGCTACCATCTAAGCAGGGCGCAGTCCAAGGGAAACCGAGAAACGGCTGAAAAAGGCGCCGATGGGGGAATCGAACCCCGGCTACGTCGTTAGATCCGCGTAGGCAGTACCACTGCACCACGGCGCAATACGTTGAAATCCTTTGAAGGATTTTGTCGCTTTACGTGAGCCGCTTCTCCGCTCACATCCCCATCCCCCTGTGTCACCAGTGCTAACAAACTCAGATCCCCTCCCCTGAGCGCTACGTAATAAATTTAGAACCCCTTCATAGATATAGCATGGTGACGTCAGAATCGTAACAAGTTTTTAATACCCCCCTCCCCCTTTGTAACAACAGTAACGCTTTCAGGACCTCCTCCCTCCCCCAGAACGCGTTACGTAATTTATGGATGCCGCCTTATTCAAATTTCAAGGTGCGCCGTACAAGCCTATATTGCCCTATAAGGTGTAACTAGTACTCCGAAGTGTGTATACTGTATACGGTGAGTCGGGTGAGATACGTATAGTGTCTTGCGCTTTCTCATTTGCCCTGTGTGTGGTGCGCTACTTGTGGGACTTACCATAAAATGTTGCCACTGTTCCCGTCTTACAACATGCTTTCTCGTTTGCATTGGCCATAAAAGTTTAGATGTTCTTCCAAGAGCGCAGGTAACTAGACATTTCCTTAATGATACACGTTGCAAAAGGGACAAATTCAACGTGTGTGCGAAGTCTAAACCCTAAATGAAAACTTAAGCCTGTCTATGTGATGATTGCGGCTAAGATTAATTTGCTGACGATCTTGATACCCGATGTTCTTGATAAACCGTAGTCGTGTTGCTTTATTGCCACATAGCAGAGCATATTCTGTAAATCGGCTTGTCTACCTAGTACTCTGAACCGATTCTCCCTGTCAAAGCATGTGCTCGTTCAGTCTTCTCTCTGCATACAGTCCACTGGTCGTCGTGTTTCTCATGTTCCTGTGCATACGTGGTAATGCAGTTATTCGTACTGCCGTAGATTTCTGTGCCGTAACACGTGCGCACTGTGCAGCCACAGCACAATTGTTACAGAACTTACGTATATCGTTGTGCGCTTTACCGAGGCACTACCTGATTTGCGATAAGCCGCCGATCAAGAGAGCAGGCGCACAAGCCGGGCGCAGGGGCCATAAAAAGTAATTAAAAAGTAATTAAGACGCTGCTCTCTAAGACATGGCCTGCTCCCACAGGCACGGGCCCGACTCACAAAAGTGACTATGCGGAGTCCGGTAGTGGTCATGCGCATACGCGATGTAAAACACAGGAGGCACAGGCACGCGAGGCACGCGAGGAGACACAGGAGGAGGGAGAAAGTGGTCTGCCCTGTGTCTGCCCGTGGTCGGTCCATTGCGCGTGCAGTTTTTCGCAAGGCGAAAGAGGCAAGTATCCCTTTCAGACGCAGGACGCGGTGCCTCCAAGTCATGCTATCTATAGCATGGGTACTGGCCGCTTGCTTATCGCAAATTCCGAACTATGTCCACGTTGAACAGTAGTGCAGTCAGCCAGAACTACACAAAATGCGGATGGCCGGAAGTTCATCTCCCTGGCCATAGCCACAGGATCCACGAAATTCACTACCTGGATATGTACTTGTATCCGTTCCTGCTTGCGCTGACTACGATAGGGAATTGGCTCAACATCCTCATTCTCAAACGCGAGAGACCCCGCACGTCCAAGAACGTTTATCTTATCGCGGTGGCCGCAGCCGATATCACTTTCATGTTAGTTGGCATTAGCGCCGAGTTAAACTTTGGTTTTATTGTTTATCAGTATATGTTTTGTAACGTCTTGCTGACACCTTCAGAGTTCTTCGGTCGCTTGCAGCTGGCAAAAGATGCCTGACACGCTATCTCACTAACGTTTTTGGGCAAAGCTGAATTGCTGCAATCTGTTAACTGCAGTGCTTATACCGTAAAAGAAACCAAAATTATTAAGAGTACAGAGTATGTTTATTTCTCAGGTGGAGTGCCCTTTTAATGTACTTAAACAACTGGAACGGAAAAGCGCAGGGCTTACCCCATCCCTGTTTACGGGTCGCAGTCGAATGGCTGGCGGGTGTCTGTGAATTCTTCCAGGGAACGGCTGCTATATTTTCCTACTGGTAACGTCCCCTTTCCAGTTGTCACACCAAAATGAGTAACCAAGATATTTTTCGAGTTTTGCGCAAACTTTCAGGGTAATCATTGCGTTCAGTGCAGAACGTTTCCTGGCCATCAAGTATCCACTGCGGCACAGGATCAGGGACAGTCTACGACAGTCCCGCAAAGCCATCTGTGCTATCCTCTTAAGTGCCATGCTGTTCTCTTTATACCAATTAATTAACTACTACTTATTCTATTATTATCGTTTTTACGCCAATGTCGATCCGCTGGACCAGCGAATCGCGGCTCTGAGCCACGGGAGCGCGATCCACACTTGGATAAATGTACGTTCTCCGTGGATTGTTTCCCAGTGATACTTATGTCAATAAATTGTCATAGTAATACGCAGGCGATCTTACAGGAAGCAAAGCGACCCGGTACAAGGTATAGTACCAAATTTGTGGACATGCACAGAAACGGTTGGTTTTGCACTCCCATACATTTTTTGAATTTTTTAATGTCAATAAATGGCCGGATGACTGATAAAGTACCGCATCCTACCGGATGTGGCGCGCAAAGTGCAAACTGCAAAGTTTCCGTGCAGGTACACGAATTTGGTGCTTGATACCGGGTCACCTTCCCGAACGACGTCTGTATACTGTACCTAAGAGCTCTTGAAATGCTTTGAGCTGCGGTGAGGTTAATCGAAATAATCCAAATGATCGAATAACACGAGGTAATCGAAAGAAACAAGAGCGTGGCTGAGAGCTGTTACGATGCAGCATTACAAGTATGAATTGGGTTGTTCGAAAGTTTGTGTTGTTACGATTCTCTCCGATAAGCAGAGCCAGTGTTTTTCTAGTTCGCATGGTCAATCTGTAGTGTATACAAATACCTCTATGAACATTCTAGAATAAGTGACAATCAAATTAATTTTTGCTATGCGCTGTTACTGCTGTGTCTAGTGTCTACTAGTTCTTAACGGGCAAATCGTTACAGATCGGAATCGCACTGCGAATTTTTTTTTTTCTGGTTCTCAACATTGCACTGTTGCGGGAGATTCTGCGCATCAAAAGCATCAACAGGATGTATACGCATGCCGTCGATGCTTCGTACTCCAACTATGAGAATTTTACCAGTTGTGCCCAGCAATCATCGCAGCCGCTCTGTTGCAAACTCGGAGAAGAATGCCTTTATCTGTTTGGCAGCCGTCGTCCTGCTATTTCTCATCACACAGTTGCCCCGCGTCCTTCACAGCGTCTTCCTTGTGCTAGTAAAGTTCTGTGTACGCGAGTATCCTATGATGTGGCGACGCTTCGTCGTTTCCGTCTGCAGTTTCCTCCTCAACCTCAATCTCCTGTAAATGTTTACTGTACTGCACTGTTGACAAAACATTCCGCAGGAATGTCTGCCGTATGTGTCCTGCTATACGGCGGGCGGTTCGCGGTGTGCTGAAGCGCAGCGGAAAGCATCAGGTGGGACAGCGGGCACCAGTCTCATAAGGTCACACTGCGCTGATGATTTTACTTGAATGAACTTGAAATATAAGTAATTGTAGTGTTGTCATGTTGTACTTAGCAACAGTTGTTTGTGGTAGCCGTATTTCCTGCTGTTTTGTACTTACTCAGTTCGCATACTGGCTAGCTGGCGTTTACATCGTATTAAAATATTCCTATTTGCAGTACGTGACAAATTGGCGTGAAGCCTTCGAACTCATTGCCTTGTTCTATTCCTTACTGTTTTATGCTGCTGCGAATGTACGTAATGCCAATGGGCGTACAAATTCATTTCCTGCTTTCGTGTAATTAATTTCTCGCGGGAGGGAATCCAGACCCCTCCAGCGAAGCCTTCTGCTCACAGTGCTGAGTGACGTTCCATGCCATTTACCGTTCCAATACTGCTGCTGCCCTACCATGTCCTACAATGTACGATGTACCATTGCTGTACCTTCGCGTTCCTACAATTTCCTTCCATGCTGAGAGCCGTACTGCCGCTGCCGCAGTCAAACAGTGTTTCCATGCCAAACGCCTTACCCGGCAATGCAAGAATTTCTTTCTACATGACCTTTATAGTGATTCATTCCAAGAACCTGGCTCCTGATGTATGAACCAGGAACTTCTGCGTTCGTTGCCAAGGATCAGATACATTCGGGCTGAAATACTGCCTGTACGTACTGTTCTTTGTACCCAAATCCACGCTGGCAGTACGGTACTTTCCATAGTGTGAAGATACGCACGTCTGGCTGCAATTGTAAGTTTATCGTACTCCCTATTTCCGCTGCAACTTGGATACGTACTGCATCAGTCCAACAATAGCGCGCTGACATCTTCTTTGGATTGTATGTATTATGTATTATTATTATGTACACTGCCTCCGTTGTGTTGTGTAGAGGGTGTACACATGTACGCCTGCTCTCATAGTAGCAAGCTGTCAGCAAATTATCCGGTAACAGTATCGACAGACAAACTGCATTCAAGACAAAGGTCAACCTTGTTGCTTTGAGCAGAACTAGTTCACCTATGCTTCTGGCTACGTTGATTTGACCGAGTATAACGAAAATTAAGCTTATCGCTAATAATCGCGTAAGACATTAATATGGTCAGATCTTTAATTTTTTGGATTTGGAATAATACAAGGCAACAAGGCTGCGGTATCACACAGCTTTAAATGATGAATCGTTACGGTTGATGCGGTTGGTCAGTTGGAGTTCGTCGGTAGCGTTCAGTAGCACCGCCGATGGCTGGAAGGTGCGGCCATTCCAATCCGCTAATATCGTCCCTCCGGCAAAGGAAATCAGTCCGTTTTCTTTGGGTTGACCTATAAATCAGCAACGGTCAAATGGAACCAGCAGATGTGCGTTTGCATAAAATGTCAAGGAAGTTGCACTTTGCACGATGTTGCGATTAATGGTTGTTAAATGAAGACGTTGTGCGAAAAAGAGGTGGCTTTACAGACCGACAAACTAACAGATTATAGAAGTGAAATCGTCCTATCACGAGCACTCTTGGCAGTGTTTGTGAACGAAGGAAATAAGAATCGCAGTAAAAAAGTACTCGTACGAACGAAAAAGTGAAAAACGTGCCTGCAGTATTTTCTTAATGCAAATACAAGTACAACGTTCTCTTTGTTGATATGTACTAACATATTTCGCCAGTTGTATCGATGATCCCTTTGGCTTGTGAAATCAACCACACCGGCGCCAGCAAGTACAACACGACATACAGCGCCCAACCGATGCATGCCACACACGCTGCGCCTTCCACCCATGCCCTTTCATTGCTACTGCTCGTAGCGCCCCTTCCACTGTGTAGCTTCTGCTTTTTTCTGACGGTAGTCTGCAGAAAACGTACTAGTTTCCGGCCGTATTGCTCTCCCAAACGCCTCAGCTTCGGTACAATCCCGTCGTTTGGTCGAACAGTGTTTGTTATCATGGTAGTCACCGTGCATGGCGAAAAAACCGGTATGATGGTGGACACCGGAAGCGAGGGTGCAGTCTGACAACCGAGACGCATTATTATCTTAAGAAAAATAAGGGAAGAATTAAATCAGAGGATTCTCGCCGCAAGGCCGACAACGCGTTTAGGGTATACTCCGCCCGTTGAAGAATAATATTGCAGATATTGCAGAATAATAATGCCTAAGGGCGGTGCGGTGCCCGCTTTAGTGCACCGAACGATAAATCAATGATGGACAAACCAGCGCTCCATAGCATGAAAGAGAAAGTATATAATTAATTAATTCAGGATAATAACATAGCTAACAGATTAACTTCGCGAAACAGTAAAAACAAAATTAAAAAACCTACTAATCAGGTGCAGGTCAGTTTCATAGCGAATTTCATTCTCGTACACAACCGAGTGTGAATCAAATTCTCCGGTTTCGCAGTTCACCCGTGTGAGCAGCCGTCCAGAAATAACGACGCTATGTTTCGCACTCCTCTCACCGGAAACCATGCAAAGAATCATGCAAATCGCATTCGAAGTACAGTGCAGACAATCCATCAAGCGGCTGTACAAGTATCACGATAACAGTTGTTTCCGTAACCCATCTGGAAAATTACCCTGGCGAGTGCGCTCTCTCTTCCCTTCTGAACATTCAGCCAAAGCTGGTGTAATATGCAAATACAGCAGCACCGAGAGCGCCGAGGGGCCCATGTTCCTCGAACATCTCCAGTTACTTGGCGGGGAATCTAGACTGTCACTTCAACTGTGTTTGAACAGCTAGGTCGAGCGCTGTTGTTTGAGGCTTACTACAGGAATTCGAACAGCTTGGCTAGGATAACTTACTGTTAATAAACATTCGCATTCGCGCACGGGCAATTACTCTTTCACATATTTTTCACCGCTGCGTAGCCAAGTTAATAGGTTTAAAAATACACAATACACAAAACTCATTTAATAATGCACAAACGTGTGCAATAACGTACTCTTTTAAGTTTTAAGTTCTATGTAATAACGCACACGGTATAAACTATAACCTATGGACAACCATGTGAATTGTGCCACAACTGGTATAAATGCTTTTAGTAATCTTGCACAAGTTCCCTAAAGTCGTCGCTTATCCCTTTTCGAACTCGCACTGTTTAGGCCTTAAATACTTTGTTTCGGGTTCTTACTGTTTGAGGGATCAGCGATAACGTCGACGTCATTGTGATGAAAAGACGACAGTCAGTTGGTGTTTGCTGCGCACATCGATGCACGGCGTGCATGAGGTGCGCAGCCCATACCATCTGGTCACCTTTTCCATAAAATGGCCCGGCGAATAATCCAGCAAAACGGCGCTAAAGATTCCTCAAAACTACCCTTGGATGGTCGACAGACGATCCAAGGGTAATGATGACGAATCATTTAGGGACTTCTCCGGAAGGGCAGCGGATTCTGGCCATGCACAGGAAGTAGATTGTGGCTTTAGTAGGTTGTCACTTAAACTACTTTTGTTTCTTTAAATTTTTTTAAAACGTGTTTGAGTGAAGTTTGAAATCCAAAACGCGTGATCAACATCACCACGGAAAATGTCACCGTATTACAGCATGCTTCGATAACGTTGCGACAGCAAAGCAAGCACAACAAGTTAACGTCTGGAAGTGTGAGCGCTATAATTTTGGACATTAAGGTGGCGAATGCTTATACATAAGAGAATGCTTTGGCCTACAAAAGGGTTTTGAGCAACAAGTGGTCATATGGAGTTACATACAACAACGGGATCGAAGTACGCACCACGCAACGCTCCTGCATGTTCACAAAGCACGAGACACATGCACAACTGCCGATGTTTGGAAAATATTTTTCTTCGTAACATTCAGAAAAGAATGCTAATCAAACTCATCTAGCGATCATAAAGCGTACTACAGGGCGAGTTGGGTAATAAGAACGCTCGAGCAGCGATCATGCAACCCGTGTCAAGAACTGAAGACGCAGTCCATTAGCTGAAACCGAACAGTTTTAACTGAACATGCAATAAACAACTTTCTTTTCGTGATTATATGGTCTTACATGCTGGCATGGGTCTATGAGAACCTTGCCGAAAACTGACTTTTCTTCAAGTCAAAGATGCTTCATACTTTGTTATATAACAGTGTACAGGCGCTGGTAGGAATTAATTGAAATAATGCAAAACGTAAAAGAAATTAAAACCGTGTGTTACTAATCAGCAAATTAATGTAAATGTTTTCAATATTCTTAAAACCTGGGGAACAATTTGGAAGAAGTGACGGCTGTAATTTACCATAAAGTTATTACTGCAGTTTCTATCGTTCCTAAAACAATACACGATGTTATGCCCAGCAGCATTTTCGAAAGTTCAGCTGACGCGGGGCTGAATATGCAGCGGAGTGTTAAAATACGAGTAGCCAGCGTGCTCGATTCGCTGAGAATTTCGAGGTACAGCATGCGCAGACCATATCCCGTAAAACGGGATGCCTGTTGCCACCGAAGAACACGCAAAGGCGACAACTCACCGAAAACCGTAGCTTATAGCGCAAAGGGGTTAAAGGACGCACATAACGATTTCCGTTAAACATGGAGTATTTTATTCTTCCAAAAATCAACTGATACAGTTCATGCCAGCCTTGCAGGTACAGTGACAGGAAATGCCGACAAATTTTAATGTTGATTAACATATATCTGTACAGTAAATCATTATACTGGCCACACATTTCGGTTAGCACAGCTGACAAAAGCTCATTGGCATCGGGAGCTTTGCGTGTAATATTTCGGTCGTCACCCATAATTACTGAGAACGGCTCTTGCACGGATTCCATTTGAAGCCAGTATATGCTTAACAACACACAAGGCCTCGTAGTAACTGTAGCGGTTCATAGATGCTTGCGTTTGCGCTTGGACGGCGGACAGGGACAGTTGCCGGTGCAGGCCGGACACTCGGGCGGATACATGGTGTGGCGGCGCTGATCCGACGGCACCCAGTCGAACTCGGTAACCTCCTCCGTTTCCTCTGCATCTGTCGTCGGCATAGCCGGCGCAATGGTCGCCATCAGGTCCGCCGCGGATGTTGATGATAGCGGTGAATCGGTAACAGTGCCCGGGTAGGAGTGACTAAAGTCTGGCTGCTTTTCATCTATCCAAGTTAAATTAAAAGATTGCGGGTAAGCATAGAGAGTAGTAACGCTATTACGATGCCTGCTATTGTTGCGTTAAGATTAGATTGCGCCGAAAGTACAGATAGACGCATGGGCAAAGCGACAATTCAGGTTTTGCAATAAAATGTCTCATTTCAATCATGCTTGCTTTGCCGATGGATTATGGATGAACAATTTGATACTTGCCTGTCGTTGGAGAGAGTGAACTGCTATTAACTGTCTCTGCAACTGCTGCCGTGTTGGCCGTGGAGATTGATGTGTTTGGGCAGGAAACAATGGGCAGCGGTGTACCGGTATCCGCATGGTCCGCCATCATCGCCGAAGGGAGCATAGGTCCTGCTGAAGTGACAGACAAACCGTTATGTCAGAAATAAAATATCCATTTTACCATTTTACAATCCATTTTACCATCTGATGTCAAATTGACCGCCGTGGAATTCAGACGGTTGTAGTCTGTAAGACCAGGTAGCAAAATAGCCAGTGGCGAACGGTTTATGACATCGTACGTTATCGGTTACCTGACCAAAGAAAAGTGTCGGCAATGTGTGAACCTCGATCGACTGCGGTAGAATTGGTTACTGGCTTCGGCGGCCCGTGTAAAATGGTCGACGGTGATGAGGAGGCAGTGCGGACTACTGATGTCGAATTTCCCACCAAGGCCGTCACAACTATTGGAAAACCTTGTAACTGAAAATCTCAGCTTTGGCTTCTATTGTGAAATGTCTCAGTTATACTGGATAAAAACGACCTATGTAATAAACGGTATTGGGTGGCCCCTGCGGCGGCGCTGATGGTTGCTGTATTGGTCAAAGTTTTGCTCTCCTGGTTATAGTATATTAGTGGATAGATACCTGTACGGCGAGGGCACGCAGCCGGCACCAATAAGGCTTTACGGCTTTACCTGTCGTTAGCGCGGCGGTAGCGTTTACTTCCCGCTGCCAAGAATTTGGGGAAAAGGTGCTAGGTAGCGCTCTGGCTGGAATGGTGACTACGGCAGGATGATTCATTGACTGAATTCCGCTGCGATTCACTGGCAAGAAGGATTGTGTCGACACTGAAAAAAATCTACGGCTTTATCTAATCTACCAAACCTTTGTTAGTTTAACGAGCTGAAAACGGCATTTTGCGGTATTTTAATTATTTGGTTTAATTATTGTAGTGCATGTTAATGCATGTTAATTAATTAATTAATGTAGTGCATTAATGTAATGAAGCACTGCACGAATTTGGTGAACGGGCCATGCTGCTCCGTCTGAACGCCTCATTACTTCAAGCTTCTTTCTTTAACGTCAGTTTGCGCACTTTAGATGATTGTCATCGGAGAGAATGGTTCGCCTTTTCGTGTTATAAGTACGTAGATACATATCCAAATCATGCACAGCTAATTGCTTCGGTTTTAGAATTTTGTTCTTGATATTTCGAGGGAATACACACAAATATGTACCTATACAGCTGTACTTAATTGTAGCTGCTTAAAAATAATTGCTAGTTCTTAACTATTTGCAAGTTCGTTTGCATCTGAAGCTTCGAAAGCACTAAAAACGCTATCTATTTCGCATAAACGAGATATTAATTAATCGTTCTCAAACACTGAAAATACCCGGGCCAGGCGAGTGCGTTGTGCGCAAAAGCTGAAATACAGTGGTCAGCAAGGAGCCGGTGGTCAACACAGTAGTGGCGGTTGATGAAGTGGTGATGCGGGACGATGTGCTGCTAGTTGCTTGAGTTGTCGACAGCCGGCGCGGCGCTGGCGTTGTTGTGGAATGTGGGACGCTGCACCAGTCTGTGTATGTAAAAAAACAACCATAATTGCTAATAGCAAGTTGACAACCTGGATTAAAAACTATTAATTTGCAATCATTGTAAACAATTATTAGCGGGCACCATAAACAACGCCTGGCCAATTACCAATAATTAATACTATTAATATTAGCAGTAGGTACCGCAACAATATGCACTAGGTACCTACTAACAAAATGAACAGTAATCAGCAGCATAAGAATGAAACAAAAATTAACAATACTGAAAAGAACTAAATCAAGCGAATTTACCACTGGATCTGGGCAGAACCTTCACGCGAACGGCGGCTCCAAAGGTAAGCCCTACATAGCTCACGGATGGGTCCATGACAGGGCGCGATAGTTGAGGATAAAATGCGCACATATAGGTACCCTCGTCGTCGCGCGTCGCCCAGCGTATTTTCAGTCGATCTCCCAGGAATTCGAACACGCGACGCTCGGCCTGGTTATATTCAGAGAAAACGCGCCCGTCCCGCGTCCAGGTGTAGGGCTGGTGCGGACGACTACGCCACATCCGGTACAGCCGCTGCCCGGCCCGGTTATCTTCGTGGACGAGACTGTACGGCAGCTCTTTTCTCGGACTAGTGGAGAAATCCGCACGCAACTCCAGCGGACAGCCCTCCATTACGCTCGCTTCGATGACGGGGGTGCGACCTATTTAATATTATGTAGGGAGCGATTTATCTGGTAACTGGGTGATGTACCCATAAATGAACCGAAAGTACTGTGCCTACTAGGCACTGCCTAGTATGGAATAGTACAGTACCTGCCTAATATAAATATTTATTATGGAGCATGTACGTGGCAGTATTATTTATCAGAACATCTGATGTTATACGGGTGTGACTGCGCACGAGTAAGATAATTTCACGCACAGGGCCAATGTCAAAAGGAGGAAGGAAATTTTAGAGGAAGGAAATTTTAGAGGAAGGAAATTTTGTGTGGTCAAAAGGAGGAAGGAAAATTTTTAGGAAGGAAATTTTGGGGGGTCAAAAGGAGGAAGGAAATTTTTCTGGTCAAAAAGAGGAAGGAAATTTTTGTGGGCAAAAATTATCTGTTTAAAACAAAAATTAATACAAAAAGATCTGTTTTTGTTACATTAAAGTTTCTTACAACTTCTGTATTTGATACGATTAATACGAACCCTGAGAAATATGTAATAATGCATTTTACCGTACCGGGCAATGCGCATGAAGACTGAGTAAGGGACAGGCAAATGTTTGAAAAAACACAGCCGGTACTTTGCGATTGCTTTATGCGGCTAGTTGTTTCGAAAACGGCTCGGTTTACATGGTCAGCAATGCATTAATCAGGTGACAGACAGAACATTTTGTGCAAAGTACGGTAATTCATTCACGCAGAGTTACAATGGAGGCTATAACACTGCAACAGACAGATCGTATGCAGCAGCTCGCAAACGCGAGCGCCAGCTTTATTTTAACGCGCAGTGGCGCTAACCGGCTCGGGCAGAGCAAGACGTTCAACAGAACCAGACTAAGAGAATTCTAAACAGGTAGACAGCAAGCACATCTCTAGGGAAGGCGCCAATCCTCTGCTTCGACTGATCTCCCTGTCTCCTTCCATTTGGCACGACTGGTGCTGCGGACATCACAGGCCTTTCAGTCCAAGCCGTTACTGAGTAGCCAGGGTGGTATTAGAAGCTTTGGGCAAACGCTCCGCTTAACCATAGCCATACACTTAACCATACTAGAGCCCTGCACGAGCAGCAAAAGTGCTGCTCAACTCGCTCGTTTCTGCTTTTTTAAACTTCCTGCTCGCTCAGCTCGCTCGCGCCCAAACCACCGCTCGCTCAACTCGCTCGTTTTCCAATTTTATTTGCTTCTGCTCGCTCAACTCGCTCGTAATTTTATTTTTAAATCGGCTCGCTCGTAAGATCGGCAAAAATTTACGTATCAATTTTTGCACGAATTAATTATACCAAACTTTTCACCAACACAAAAACTCAGTACATAACTAACATAAGTGTAATTGGATGTTCAGAGACAATCACTTATATCTCCATACTGGTAGTCCGTATCATTAGCTTTTCATTTTTTTGCTAATACATTTCTCTAATTTTCAACTGGATGTAGTTTTCTTAATTTGGCCTGAATTAAATACGTATAATAGAATGCTCAAAAATTAAAATGCACCTTTCTTAGAAATCATTCAACTGATTCATAAACCCGTCAAATAATGTTTTTGTTGGCTACGAGTACAAAATATCAAAATTTAGTCGTGCGTCCCAACCGGTCTAGGAAAGTTAGTAAATAAATCAATTCGCGCGAAGCGCGAAGGTGACGGTGGTTTAAGATCGTTTCAGGTCGGTCAATGTAATTTTGTACAGAAACTTCCAGTTCGCACAATGTCAGCCTGGCTCGCGATCGCTCGCACCCGACCATCCCGCTCGCTCGGCTCGCTCGCAATTTTTCTATTGCTCAGTTCGCAAATTCGCAAAACGACGCCTGCTCGCTCGAAGTGCTCGCGAGCGCCGACAGAGCCGAGCCGAGCAAGGGCTCTAAACCATACTGTATGGTTAAAGTGTAAGTGTGGATATACAAACTACACAGAACGAAAGAAAAAAATAAATCGGAGGACACCAAAAAGCCAACTGCGCGCTGCAGCTGCAGTACTTTGTGTACTGCCACCTCCGTGGCGGGCTACCACACCGCAAGCAACAAGTGTTTTTTGACATTTAAATTTTAACGTCACTAAAAAATTTTGCTGCACTTAAGATCTTCATCATTTTATAACTGTTTTAAAATGGAGGCCTCAGAAGATCTTGCCCAGTCTACCACGAAGAATCGTCGAAATCGTTTCACGTCAACTCAGGATTTGTTACTGGTGGAAGAGGCTAGCGAACAGAACCCGTATGCAGCTCGGAATCCTAGGGAATGCTGGGAAAAGATCGCCGAAAATCTCAATGCCACGAAGGTGAGATTTAGTTTGCTATCATACTGCGGTCCAGTGCGGAATGTGCTTATCTATGTGTTCTATATGTAGAAATTCAATGCGCCACTGACTGATCGTGCTTGTCAGACGCGTGTGGACAAATTGGTAGAATATTACATCAAACAGGACCTACGCAATCTAGTCCGAACTGGAACGGAAGAAATTTTCGGCCGCATCGAGTCAGCGCTTTCCTCTCTGTCTGCGAGCAAGCGTGATGCCCTGGCCCTGAGTGAGCAGAAAAAGCAGCAGAAGGTGTTGGAGGCCCAGAAACGGAACGCAGAAACTGCGGCTATTCAGAGCGCTGGAGAGGCGACGTTCTCGAAAAAGAAACGCACCGACGATTTGGCTGATTACCGTCTCCCATCTTCCAGTGTTTCGGGTGATATCGACAGGTCGGACGACGACATGTGGGTGGATTCTGCAGCCGAAGAAGAAGCTGCTATGCAAAAGCCGGATTTCGACCCTGAAAAATTCGAACGTGAGAAGGCTGCACGACGATTGCGACAGAAGCGCGTCCGCCCAGCCAAAGCTCCCAAAATGTCAGCTGAAATGGAAGCGGTCAAAGCCATTGCTGAGGGCGATAAATTTAAATGTAAACTGAAGGAAAAAGAACTACAACAGACGCGCGAATTTAAAGAAAAGGAGATGGAACAAGAGAAACAACTAAAAGAAAAACAAATGGAGCTGGAAAAAGAACTGCGCACTGCAGAAGATCAGCGTAAATACACCATACGCATGCGAGAACTTGATTTACAGGAACGGGAAATTGCCTGCAGAGAGCGTGAACTTGCACTGAAAGAGAAAATGTGTGGCGGATAATTAGCTCCTGTAAATTGTGTACCAACTGTCTACCAGATTTTCAATAAAACAAAAGGAAGAATAATGCAGCTTTAATCATTCAAAGTTATCAGGTATTCATCCAGGCTAGGCGGTTCTAAATCGAAATACTTGCTTGCTTGGTTATGATGCAGACAGTTATGACAATTAATAAGTATAACAGCTACGCGGTACAACTTGTTTATGGGATTAACATACATTCGCATTTGTTTTTTGAAATCAAGAAACGCGAATTTAGAAACAACCTCTTTAAAGCCCCATTCAACAGGCTCCCTTACCCGAGACATAGCCCTTATTTAACAATTTTTTACGGCGGTCATTCATGACTTCTACTTTCGAGAACGGTTTCTTCACGAGGTCCCCTCTTCCTTAGCCCGAGTCACCATAAAGGCAAACCTTTCGGGACCATCAAACGTCGTGAATTTCTGCTGCAGTGCGTCCAAAACTTTGCTCGCGGTCAAAAGAGTGCTGTCGTGCATGGATCCGCGGTGTCCACCATATAAGCTACAAATCATGCCGTTTGGTAGCAGAATGGCTTGCCATTTCGAGCAATGGTGGCGTTTGTGGCCACCGAAGCACTGCCGCTGGTAAAATTTAGGGCGGCTGATAGGCCGTGCTGTCCCATCGATGAAACCCAAAACATCCGCGCAACACACCACCTTTCGCAGCGACGGCGCCTGCGAACGTGAGAAAATCGTCTTCGGAAAGCCAGTCCTGGTTCCACTCTTCCAGCAGCCATCGGAATGTCTTGTCGATGTGATTTAACATCCACATAAATATACGGCATAAACTGCTTTCGGACCGTCCAAAAAACATCCTTAAATCAATCCATCGAGAAGGATACACAAGGCGACGCAACAAGATGCACAGAGCCTCTATCCCAGAAGCACGCTCACGTTTTGCTGTAATCACGACGTCAGGTATCATCAGGCGCTTTCGGAGGTCTTCGATTTCGGACATCGTAAAACGGAAATATCGCCAGCTTTCTTTTTCAGTGAAGACGCTTGGGTTAAAAGCGAAAGGGACCCAGTCATATCGCAGTTTTCGCTTTTTCAACACACAAAGAAGCAAAAGAAACTTTCGCCGGGAGATTAACTTTCGTTTGTAAAGAAGAAAAAGATAAATAAACTTCATTTTCATAAATTTTTGCAGTTTTTGAATGAAAAAAACGGGAAGATCTTATTACTTTAACACTTTTAGAAGCAGGAACTTTGTATAGGTTGGAGAAGTGCTATGTTAAAAGTGACTCAGCCCAATCACGAATACCAGTATTTTACCATAACCTTACGTTATGCGATAAGAGATGGTTAACAGATGGATATGGTGTGTTTTGCCCAAAGCTTCTATTGTGATCCTCCATCTCCCGTGCCCGTCTCCGTGGTGGTATTGCTGCCTCAGCCAAGCACTTCGCACACAGGCCTTGCGGGCCGTGCACTCGCAGCCTGAACTCAGAGTGGTCACCCATCTAAGTCCAAACCGCGCTCGATGTAGACTATCTTTCAAAACCCGAAGGTTTATCCATCTAGCCACAACGAGTGTGCTTTACGATGCCACCGAAGTGTGATCTTGTCTGATTCCTTTGAAACTCTTCAAAACAACCAAGCTTTCCCATGTTCAGACCGACGCAGCTGACGGCTGCAGTCTAGCCGGTGGACGAGCAAAAGCGGCGACGCACATGGGTGCATTTGGCGCAAAGCATCATTTCTCAAGAAACATTTTGCTTCGTAAAGGGTATCGTTGTGCAATTCTTAGAAAAGTACTTAAAATGAAAAACTAATTGTTTTATTAAGATTTTAACTGGGTGAGACGATCAGCACCCCTTTTACCCGCATTTCTTATAGGTGCCCCTTTTGCCTTTTGCGTCCGGTTTAACCCTTTTGTATTATTTAATTCTCACCGCATTTTTTTCCGCGAAATATGGGCACCTGTTTTTAGTTTTTTCCCCAGAGGACTGACAAAGGTTTTTACCAGTCTTTTTAGTTTACAAAGATTTTCTTGACGATCTAACATGGCTAGATCAGGCCATGTTAGATCGTCAAGAAAAGGGGTGCCTGTAGTCTATGTGGGTGCGGAAGGGAGCGCATTATGGGCAGTTTATGGCTATGCATAGAATTATACACATTTCCTTTTTATTTTTCTACAAAACGGTACAGTCATCTAGCAGCAACATGGAAGGTTATGATACTTACGATGATAGCGGCGATGAAGACGCACGAAGTTACGAACGGCATAAGCAAAAATGTTTCTGTGGTATTTACATACAGTATTTTGGTTTTCACAATTCGGAGGATAAGCAATTGTCTTAAGCAAAAGCGCTCTTTAAGCAAAAGCGATGCTCTTGCTTTTTGTGCGTCTGTTTTTTCATAATTTTTTGTTGTTTCGTGTTTTTGATTTGAATTTCTTGTTCTTTTTCGTGGAAAACGGTTCCACATGTTTCGAAACGCTACCGGTTATAAAAATTTCATTCGTCAAAAAAATTTATTATACCATTGAAATTTTGTGAAACTTTCCTTCCCCCTTTTGACCCGAAAAATTTCCTTCCTCCTTTTGACCACACAAAATTTCCTTCCTCTAAAATTTCCTTCCTCCTTTTGACATTGGCCCACGCACGGCGCTTTGTTCCTTTTAGCGTTCGCCTTGCGTCAAACGCCAAAATTCAATAGATAATTAAAAACGGCTATGTTTTCGGATTGAATAATAACAAACAAATTCTATTAGAGGATGCAGCTAAAAAATTAAGAAGAAAACGACGACGAAGTGGAAATAAAAACGGTAATAAAATCTCCCAGGAAAATCAAAGATGAAGAAAAAAATAAATTATAATAAATGGCATATAAGATACTGTAGCGGCTCGATCGACTGGCACTACAGAGTTTGTGTACGGGAAATCAGCACTTGCAAAGTATGCGCTGTTCGTGTTTGCGAGCGCATGAGCATGCACACGCGGAATGTGTGCGGTTTTCCTGTACACCAACTCTGTGGTGCCACTTGATCGAGCGAATTCGAGCCGATACACTCACTACAGTATATAAAAGGTAAAATAAATATTAAAAACAAAATAAAAATATTATTAAAAACAAACAAAATTTGTTAGCAGAGCCAGCATACTTGCAGGTTGGGCAAAGTACTCGATCACACATTCTCCACCTCCCAGCGCGTTGTTTTCGGGGCAGTACACTTCGTTGCGGTAGCGTGGGGAACGGGCGCACGCTTCGTTGCACGGGACACGGAAGAGCACGGCCAGCAGCGTCAGATACAAGACGATCATTTGGTTCCCGCAATCCATGGATTTAACCCCAGAGCAGAATCTCTGGTATCCACACTACAAATAGTCTACAAGGAAAACTGGCTGCTTCACAGCTTCTTTATTATGCTTTTCCCACAATGAGAGCAATGATGGAAAATTTACGATGGGTTGCAGCTTAATAAACACGTCGGAAGGATATTAACGGGTATATATATGCCTGGGCCAGGTCTGTTGTGACTTGTGATGCAAAAAATGGCTATCGTACAGTGTAATATTCAGATTCTACGCATAAAAGCTGGCATAAATCGAAATGGCATAAGAACGGTGTTCACGTGGCCAGTTCGGTATAATACAACTCTGTGGGCAGGGCTGGAGCACAAAGCGCAGGAATGCGTTCACATTCCATACAACAGGACATTCGAATTTTTAGGTAGCTGTATGGGCTGTACAGTGTATAGTACGCTATATAACCAAATTTAATCTGCGACATTATAATTATTATCAATTAAAAACACATGTATATACAACAATCAACAACGTATACATTTGGTTCTGTTGACGAATGACGAACACGTTCTAAGTTGACACTACTAACCGGAGAACACTGACGTTTTTAAAGATGCAATTAACGTTAATACCCGCGCGATGAAGTTAAGGATTAGGGGTAATAATTTAATAAACCCGGTACAAGTGGCTTATACTGTACATACATGTGTTTTCTAGAGTGGTTCGCTTTTTGGTAATAATTGCTAATCACTAGACTATTGTCGCGCTACTTTGCAGCATACTTGCGATTAAAGGATTTACAGCACGTTTGGTTTACAGTACGCTCTGTACATATGCCATATAAAGGAATACTTATTACTTGCGGCGTAAGTATCCGTAAAATTAAAACACTTGCACATAGTTAAATGTACTTATTTCATACTCGACTTGAATTGTGCTGGATATCGGATGATTTGTTTCTGTACATGACACGGTATGACACGGTATGGCTACTCGGCGCCTGAAAACGTTTAAATGTTTTCTATTTAAATTTAAACTATTGACTCGAATCAAAAGGTAACAATAAACAGTCACACAGTGCACCTGGGATTATTTTAGGCAGCAGTGCTACCTTAATTCGGGTTTTGGGATTTCAGTGACACACTTTTTGGCACCGAACCAGCGCACAGATAATGCGATGATTTGCGATCACTGCTCGTGCGATCCATTCGGGGCGACGGCGCGTTCGAAACATGTGCACGTCATTTCGTCTGCTATACATTTTTCCGGATAATTTTGGTTCGAAAATAGAAACCGCATTTTTCACTAGGAATTAATCAATTTTTACAGCACAGCTCTAATTTAAACAGTTTAACTTAGCCTTAGGTTTATCGCGTTTATATTGCTTGGACTTTTTAAAATGCGCTGGTTGTACCAAAACATTCTCATGTTTCTGTTTGCGCTGGTTCAATGTTGCCCACGACAGCTGCCTGCGGTTTTGCTCTGTCCCGATTTTCACTGGGACACGCGTCACACCGTCAATCCGTGGCTTAACGGAATGTACTGCTTCGCCGAACGAGTTTCCCAAGGTGCGATTCTTTTACTAGTAGCGTCTGAGCATGAATACGATTAATTTTCCAAGTTTCCTAAGTACGAGGCAAGCGGCAACTCTTTCCCATCGCTTTAGTAAATTTTATCACTTTCCCCGCTGCATCTTACCCGTGTGCAGGCGCTCACGTGATATCGTATCTATTCACCATTCTAATCAGCGCTTACTTAGCCGGCGATAAAATCTCACCTGCCGTCCTCTTCGCTATATTCTTTATCAGTCTGCGTAATCAACTATAGCTGCAAGGCGGTTTAGACGTGAAACGGCTGAAATCAAGTATCACGTGAGCGCCTGCACACGGAAAGATGCAGCGGGGAAAGTGATAAAATTTACTAAAGCGATGGGAAAGAGTTGCCGCTTGCCTCGTACTGGTTTAGTTGGCTAATGTGCATATACAACGTACTACGATATTAAGCAGCTGCTAAAGCAGCTGTTAACAGCTTTTTTTTAAAAATTAGTAAATCGATTAGTCTGGGCATTAAATAAATTAAGAGAATAATGTTCCAGATCGATCACAGGAAGATATTGCAACTACGAAGGTAGTGGAGAACAGTTATCTGTCCAGCAACTGCCAGCCGTTGGGCGGTCAGCAGAAATACCGCTACGCAGCGCCGCCGCCCCGACCGGTAGCCCGGTCCCATCGCTGGACGCGCCAAATCCCCAGCGCCACCAACATCTGGACCAAAGACGACCGCGTCGTGCATCGGTCGTGCAGCGACCGTGTCGCCACCTGCGTCGCGGGTGAGACCATCGTTTTCCAGAACGTGTCACCGGCTGATGCAGGCGTCTATGCGTGCACTTATATCGCCGAATGCGTGTACCAGTCCGAGTACAACGGTTTCTGCCATTATCGCCCAGGTGGCAGATTCCGGCTTCTCGTGTCACCATCCACCGGTAGGTTGCACCGTTTACCATCGTTTTAAAAATTCTTCCATTTATTTCAGTTTTTCTAATTTATTACTGTTCCTTCAGTTCTACGAATTGCAGTTTCGTTGACGCGCCTTCATTTTGTCAGAAAATTTAATTTTTGCGCAGGCAGATGACTTATCTTATATTCTGATTTGTCAAATTGTACAGTATTTCTGATAAACAGACCAACATATTTGAGATAATAATGTTAATATTTAAATATTACACAATCAGTACATTTGCTGTAAACATTTTTTTAAAATTTTTTTACAGCAACGCAGAGAACAATTGCTAAGGAATCCACTACGCAGCTAACAACGGCATCGGCTGCATCTGTCGCTACGAATTCAGCAGCGCGCATCACGTTGGCGGCAACAGCGTTTAGCGCTTTTTCTCGAGGTATGCAGTAGTTCGTTAGTTACAAAGTTTTGACGGAATTTAATTTTGCAGCTCTTTAACTTTAGCTGAAGCCAGCCTGGACTCAACGCCTACCGTCATTAGTACCACCTTGACGACCAGTACAGACACAACCACAAATCTGCTACTTGAACCAGAAACGATACTGCCATTCACACCATCGAAGTTATCGAACGATACCGCTGTGGATTACTCGAGCACGGTGGAAGATATCAACAACACCGGTTCACTCTCGCTGATAACAAGCAAGTACTATTCTACGTTCTCGTACTATTCTGTTCTATTCTAGAGTGTACTATGAAAAACGGTTCTAGAGTGTACTATGAAAAACGGTTGTACAATGATTATTTTTATTTGCATCAAGAGTGCGATAGACATCTGTTTATGTTTTCTTTTTTTAAAAATTTTTTTCAAGGAAACCAGTTTTTCTAGTCAATTTCTGTATTTCAGCTTTTTGTTTTTTTCAATTGTTTACCATTTTTTAAACGTGATTATTTCGTCTTCCCAGCAAAATCCGTAACTTACAATAAGGATGACGTGGACATCATCCCAGAGACGACAACGACGGCTGCTGGCAAGACTGCAGCTGTTTTGACCACGCTTCGATCACTGACCACCGTCCCTCAGGCGGTGGAGACAACTATGGCGGGTCGTAGTCGAGAGCTGACAGGTGACAAACAAGATGAAGGATTCGACCAAGACGAAGAGATAGCCAAAAAAGCCCCTGGAGGGGAGACCGAACGGGCGGCTGCGGTGGCGCGAAAACTGCACGAAATAGGTAATCATATCTGTACTGATTTCAAAAATAATTTTCTCTACCACAGCTTTGTACTGTGTCATCAGCTACTAACTACGAAAGCTTCTGTAGGCAGCTTTCTGTACTTTCAAGGATACATCTTGTCTTCCATAGCCAGCCAAAGTTTAGATGCGGAATTTGTATAATTTTTCTGCTCTGCATATTACTATAGCAGAACTATGAGGCAGCGTAATAGCGTGAATAATCTGCCTTCTTACCTGTGATTGCTCAATTTGTGTAGGTGAAAAACAATCAGGCTTTATCCACTCCTCTACAGCCACTGATGCCGGTTCACCGCTTTTGCCGACATCCGCGGGGAACCTGATGGCAACCATCGCGCCGGCAACGCCGACGTCAGAAGCGGAAGATGCAGAGCAGGTTACCGAGTTCGACTGGGTGCCATCGGATCAGCGCCGCCACACCATGTACCCGCCCGAGTGTCCGGCCTGCACCGGCAACTGTCCCTGTCCGCCATTCAAGCGCAAACGCAAGCACGCGGTCTGATCTGGAGCCACACTTCCGGTTTCCCAACCACCTGTTGCTGTGTGGATAACTGCTGTGTAGATAACTGGATAACGGATTGGTCTCCATTTAATTCTCATATGATACAGATACATAATCTGATTAAATATGAATTGTGAGACGTGGACATGCACACTTACGATAGCTGCTAAAGTACTGTGGCTGCGTGGCATAATTAATCTCTACGGAGAACGGACTAAACTTATAACTCATTCTTTAAAATAATGAATACTCTAGTCGATCCATGCACGGTATAATTAAACATTTTTGTCATGTATCTGTAATATCGTTACTCTATTCGTTCGTTTTCAGTCAGATAATATTATGGTCGTTCCCGATGGCTGTACAAAGTCAGCTACAAACTATTTGCATAATCCCATATATTCGCGTACGCTCTATCAATTTATGAAGCGTTGCATATTACAACGGGCATTCAAATGGTAATAATCAAACGCGTATGCGCAGATTAATGATCTACCCGGGTTAACATATTATGCGGACATGTTATTTATCTAATTCCGTTTAAGATAGCTTCACATCAACGGCAAATTTTAGAGTCTACAGAACCAGACGACTCCATTCGAATTCACACCAGTCCACAACCATTGTCTTGCTGTCCTGGCGCACAGCCACATTCCTTTCATTGTGTGCTCCCACCCAACGTCTTCATAGATTCGAAAAGTAAAGTAAAGAAGATGAACAGCAAGCAACAATTGTAAAAATCGAACGCAGCACGTCGCAACAGAGTGGTTTCTATTCGCTGCCTTGCCTTTCATGCGTCGCATGTTCTCCCTGAATTCAAGCATTCTTCCATGGATTGGGTACTACCGGCATCACTTGTGGCGTCCGCTATTGTATTAACTCTGCTCTGCATTAGAACTGCGTTGATATATTTGACGACATTGACGTGTCGAGAAATATCCCAGTTACGAATTACTGCAGAGCACCGATACAGAATCTTGCAGAATAGAACTATAGCTGTACAAGTACTGACGATGGTGTGTTCGTTATTATCCTGCTTGTTTGTAATCTTCGTTCCATGGACGCTGCGTGGTCCGCCGAGTGTGCTGGCGTTGCCTGTTCCAGCAGCGCTTCCGCCATGGGAACAAGAGTCCGATAACAACGCCGTAGTGCAGTGCTGGAACGATTACTGTGCAAAGTTACCTTACGACTGCTTCGATTACGAGAAGTACCTCGTTCACTGCTTCATTCCCGCCGTTTCCAACGGTAACGGCGAAAAGAGAACTTAATTAATGAGCTTGATTTTACGATGTTTTCCGCTTAACTATAATATTGTGCAAGCGACAAAAGGGCCGCCGTTCGTTAACTGATAAATTTACAGGATTCAACCTTCAGTTTAGTTTATAATGGCAGGTTTACTGCCTAAATGTACGAGTTCTAACAGACTGTGAGTTTTGCAGCAACAGATCACTGGGCATCGGCAGAGAAGATATACGTTAAAGAGGGTGAACTGGTTAAACTGCAGTGCAGCCCGCTGGAAGATGCCGCCGACGGTTACCGCCTCGACGCCGGCTACAATGTGGTGCGGGAGTGGAGCACGTACTTTTGGAGTAAAGACACCCAGAACCTGGCTGAACAGTATTTGCGGGCGGGGAAACGACTAATAGTAACAACGGGTCACAATGTTGCGGTTGACGGTTTGTCGGCTCCTGGAGAGTTGTTGATTCGAGCCACCCAGTCGACTGACGCGGGCGTGTACGGCTGTGTGTATCTCGGTCAGTGTCGGCACAACGTCGCGGACTCAACAGGTTGCATATTGCGGCTTGGACCAGCGTACCACGTAACCGTTTTGCCGAAAGGTCAGTAGCGGTATAGTGCGGTAATTAGTATTTCCTCACAGTAATTTCGTACTGATTATAATGACATATCGTCGCAGTATTTTTGTACTGATTAAACGACATTTGAAAATACCATTTTGGTAGTCCAGTATGGCAATGGGCTGCTGATTTATGTCTTTCAAATAGATTTACGTAACCATGATTTGTACAAGCGGCACAACTTACTGAGCGCCCCTTAATGGATTTTTTTGCGTTCAGGTGCCAGTGGTCCGGTCAATACGGATTCCGTCAACACCGCAGCGACAATGCCCACGTCGGAAGTGGACAAGATGGATTTCGATTACGAGTACGAATGGAAGACGGTGGATCCACTGGACAAGCAGAAGCGCTGACATTTGTAGTTTTTGAGCGCCTTCATAAGTTCATACTATTTATATCCACGTATGCAATATCCTATGCATTGTAGCGTTGTACTCGTACAACATTTGGTGAGCAATATAAATTCCACATTGTTCTGCAGTTTTGATGTTTTGTTATCAGATTTTACTAGGAATCTTGCATACTCGAATTATTTCGTTAGCGGCTAAGAGAGCGTCTACAAAATGCATAAAGCAAGTGTCTACAAACGTCATTTACATTTTACTTAAGGGGGAATAATTTATAGCAGGAACCCGATTTTATAAATTACCGATTTTCTGAATTGTCTTTATCCTTGTAAAACAAACATTTCTCTACTTGAAACATGTAAGATATCGGAAAACGGATGAGTCGTTCAATTCTTATGCATTTTTATGCGAAGGCTGTCATAAAACGTTACAATTGGCGCAGCTGATAATTTAACAGCGCGCGATTGATTGTTTGTCTGTTTCCTATCGAGCAGTCACACAAGCGATGGAGGCTTTCCATTGTCAGCCGTCGGTCTGGTCCTGTCTGGACACTGCGGGCTGAAAGACGCAGACACTGGACACTACAGGCACTGGACAAAGAGCAAGTGACTGTATGCGCTGCTATTTAGTTCAGCCTTCGCGATCCAGTATCGATAGACAGCCAAACACTTTACGTACATGCTTCTTTTGAAAAGTGCAGTTTTTTACCTTTTTTATTGTACTCCTCTCACAGAACATTAACAACCTAGAAACGCTATACACTGTTTTGTAGCCAATTCTTTCCTCTAAAAACGTAAGAGATTGGATTTTGGCGACCTCTTTCATGATTTTGTAAAAGGGTGCTGTTAGGTCGGTAAAGTGATGAAATTGGTACCTACGAACACTTTAAAATTCAGTTTAAAATCATCTGTTTGTGGTCGCCGAAATCCGTTTCTTACCATTTTGGAGCATAGTATGCTATACCAGTTGAGGCCATTTTTGGCATGATCAGGTACTGTTTGTAAAACAAGTATATTAAAATGTATGTTTTTCAACTTTTTAAATTTTAAAGTTTAAAATGCACCATTTTAAATTTTGGTGTAGTGGATGCGATAAGGGAAAAAATATGCTATCTGATAGCACTTTCACTTATGGCGTAACTATGATCGTACAATTAGCAGTTTAGTTGAAAGTGAAGGACTTTTATGTAATTATTATAAATTAGTCCCCCTTAATATCGATATCGGAAACAACCGCGATGTTGGAGCAAGAAGGTCAAAATTTGATGTTGTCCGGCACCGACGCAACTGGAGCATGCGTGCGCCGGCCCATGCCCTTGCTGCCGAACAGTAACATAACCGAGATTTTGTTCTGGTAATCGTATTTCAGTTAGCCAAAATCTGACCGAAACGAAGGCCATTGATTTAACCTCTATTTCATTCAGACATCGGAGCAGGTTTTAATGAAATAAGCATTTGCCTATTGAAATAAAGGAAGTTCTTTGAAATGAGGTTAATTTCGGCGTAACAAACTCGCGCGGTGAACGCGCATGAATGCGTAATTTAATAATAAGATTAACAGACAATTCAAAACTATTTATTTCCCTTGTTGACTAGCAGACAGTCAAATGGTAAAGTAAACTCTATCTATATCCATCTTCGAATAAGAGTTAGAAAATCAAGTACCCGTAAATCGAAGCCAACTCTGAACGCCGCAGGAACTGAAGTATTCTTCTCCAACCATACAGGGCTTCCGGATCAGCACTCTTAAAATATCCGGTCGAAATCCCGTTATTTGACAATATGAAATCTCGCTGCTTGGTGGATAATAATCCTCTGATACCCTCGTTATGGCATCCAACGCTGCTGAACTTACAGGCCAGCGCTGCAGGTCAGCTTTCAGTCGCTCGCCTTCTTCCCATCGCCAACGGTGCGGACAATCGACGGCATCCGACAGCTTGCCGTGTATAGAACAGCGGAGGTTCAGCGCATCCAGCACACGTGCAATTCCCGTAACTGTATCATTCATGGTTTTCGTGGTGCAGCAGAACGTCCAGTTGCCGCCCAGAAGGTTCAGCAGATATTTTATTTCGTGCGGCGCTGCCATTATGAGTTCTAGGACAACCGTTTAACATCAATATCCCGCAAAAACCGAGTCCACTTTCCTTGTTTTATTAGCTGACATTTTATTTCCAACTATGGTAATAAAATCGGATGCGATACAATTGTCTAATAATAAAAACTACCATACGCAACCGAGCTTTACCGATTTTATTGAAAAACGTTAAGTGTGCAACGCTTCTGCGCTAGCCGCTTATAGCGGTCAGCCGTTTTGAAACAGGCTTGTACCTAACACAAGTCGTTTCGCGCTGCTTGAATTCATGTAGCAGGAAATGTGGAGATTATTGACTGCGGGGTACAGCGCCAGCTCGTCCTCCAGATCGCAGAGATAACTGCGATAATCTACTAGATCTGTACTGCGGAAAGACGCGTACAACTCCAACTCCAAGTGCATCTCTTTTATTAACCGAATGGTCGTGTAGCTGTGGCTAGCAGAGAACTGCATCAGCAGCAGGCTTCGTGTCGATATAGCCGTGAACTTAAGCAGCGCTTTCGCTAAGTAAACGGCCTGATTGTGTTGGCGGTCCGGGGCTTCCAGCAAGACAACCGTTTTTGCCATAGCGCTTGATTGAAGTCTATGCCATCTTTGACAGACCCTGCAATATGCAAACGGTGCCAATGATTTCTCTGCAGAATGCCGGCAAAATTTCCGCCGGTCTAAAAAATATATAGTACAGCACAACTTCCGCTTTCAGTATACTGTATGCTCCGATAAAATCGTCCAGGTGAAACACATCATCCGGATCCTTCCCAATTTCGACAATAGCGCCAAACACGTTGGATTTACTTTTTTTTAAACTTCCAAAAAAATTTACTGTCCATGTTTTTTTTCGACCGCGAAAAGTTTTGCCGGCAGAAGTGCGAAGGCGTCCTGTGCAGACGATTCATCCGTCCGGGGATTTTCCCCGTTTCAAATCAACAATGCATTTTAGACCACTATTGAACTACTTCGAAAAATTAGTTCAACCGACTACCCTTTAAGTTCACTTATTTATTCCTACACCTGGCTTGTCGAAAACGTACTGTGAACAACACCCTTCTTGGCCAGTGCAAGTTTATCAGCTGCACTCGATCCACCTGCTTTCTCATTTTTTTCGATTGGTCGGCAAAGTCACTACGTACACGATTCTACTCGGACCGCATCCGGATATCTGAGAGTGTGGCATTTCGCCGCAATTAAATTTGACGCACGATTTCGCCGCGTGGGCGTTATGACGCCGACACACTTCGGTTAGGACAATTTGCATTGAGACATTTTAACTTTGCTACATTTTGATGCAGGACGTCAGGTCGCGGACACTTTGACGCAAAATAATTCGATACGCTGAATTTTTGCGGGATTTTTGATATGCTTACTTTGGTTTTCTTAGGTTTCTTTGGGTATTCTTAGGTTAGTTTTAGGTTATTCTTAGGTTTCCTAGGTTTTTCTTTTGGTTCTCAGCCTTCATACTTTCTTGGTTTCCTCGATTTTTTTTCTTAGTTACTTTCTGTTGGGTTCCTGAATTTTTATTTAGGTGCTAATAAGCCTGCTAAAAAAGGCTTTTCGTTGAAACAACGATCATGGCGAAAAGTCTCGGCTTCAGAACGGCTTGGCGACGAATTGTCTCGCGGCGTGATGTCATGCCCAATAAATGTCCCGCGAAGAAACTTCGCGCGGCAAGCTGCCCTTGCGGCGAAATGTATACAAACAACATTCATACCAATAGCTGTCCTCTGCGAAACAAAATGTCGCGTGACCACTGCATGTTTATTTAGCTGGGAGTCAGGATATATGTAATATCTGTATACGGTACCATGCTAACATTTCTACCCTTGATATTACGTTAACCAGCGTTGTATGACGTAGTATCATTGAGATTTCTATCACGTTTTTAGTAGCTTAGCACTTTTCAGTGTTACCAATGATTCTACCCTTACCGTTCTAGTTCCCCATGTCCTATCCTGTCCAGGCTTTGCAGCGCCTCCAACATGATAACATCCGGAAGAGTATTTAATGTTGCAAACGCATCATGATCCTGAGATCTGCTTTTAAAAATTAGGGCCTCTGCAAATTTTTTGCAAGGTACAGATAAAACAGCATTAATTTGTTTCTTTTTGGTGACCACTACCACCATCAGTCACTCGATGTTCAGTGCAAAACCAGGCTGTGCTTCCACTAGTCTTTGCACATTACGTTCCCGTGTTTGTCGCTATGCAAATTCTTCCAAAAACAGCTTAGAAAATTTCCGCAGGAAAAATCAGATGAAATCATCCAGCAAAACCATTACCTGGGTTACCCTATTTTACGTTCAGAAACCAATAGGGTATGAATAAAATGTCTACATATAGCGAAAATTTGACGTACCGGGCACGTATAGTTTCGATGCCAGCCATCTGGGAAAGAACAGTAATTTTTGGAACGTTTTTCGGAACCATGTCTCCATACGAATGGTACCCCCTATTTTCAAGACAAAAATTTAGAAAAGGCTCCAAAACTTACGATTGCCTTTTATGAATAACCATAAAGTAGAACTGCTGGACTATTTTATGAAATAACTGGAGTTGTTCATGCAAGGTGATCAAGATTTTGGTATGTTCAGTGATTGCGATCACCACTATTTTACTAATTAGTTTCCCGCAATTGGTATTTTTTCGTAAGCGGCTTGGGCGGAAACTCTGTTGCGGGGTGAATCAATTTGTCAAAGAGGTACCCTTATGATAACAAGACCTACAGAGGACTGCTTTATGGGGGGGGGGGCGAATTAAATATGAGCGGGGGCGGAGTGGACATAAATTGGTGAAACACGATACTTCTACTTAATGCATGTACGAGTAACTGACTGCAGCAAAGCTTTGTTGCCAGAACAAGAAAACGGCAGGGGATAAAAGATGGCAGTTGCCACTGCCACCTTCTATCCCCTACCCAAGAAAACACTGAAAACTCAGACAAACCGTATCTATAATACAGCTCCGTAAACTTGTCGTATAAGTGAAAAACCAGTCGATGAAATTTGTTGGGTAGTCGTTTAGCTTTCTGGCGGCAAAGAACGGTGACACCGATATCGTCCGCAGATATGATAAGCGTGCCCGTCAAATCCAGCCAGACCAACGTCATACAAGCGTCCAGCTGTTTCAGATAATACAGAAGGGGAGACCGTGGGAACGGACACTCGGCTTTGTGGCATGATGTGTACGACACGGTCACCTTGTAGAATGTTCTCGGTGTGACTGTCTTCCAGAATCGCTTCTGACGGATACGTATATCGCTGGCTACCACTGGCGGAAACATATTAACAACAACCGTCAAAGAGAACGGATTCCAGGATGGCAGTCGGACCAAGGCAAACTGTTCACCCTTCTTGTCCACTAGCTGGTTACCGTAATCCGGCACCAGTGCCACGAAGGTGGCTTTTCTCCAGGTCAGCGGCTGGCCTCTACCAGTGGAAATTGCGACCATTATTATACGGCAATCCGCAGGATAAGAATTACAGGACATAACGAGAAAACTCTCAGTCACTTACATTATGTCTCGAATTAACACCTCCACCTCGGAGTTCTCTTGGAGTGGCTTAAGATAACGATGGGCGCCATACCTTTGGGGTGGCAATATATGGATGCAGGAAAATTCCACCAGTTCCGCTGATGAGGGACCGTCATGAACGAAGTCGATGACAAGTCCATCGTCAGTAATATCAGTAACATATCCCCGCTGTATCACGTCATCTCGCACCACGTCCACTGTGAATTTGACGTATGAACGCGAGTAGTACGGCTTATTAAGCGTCATATTCGACGTGTTGCTTAAGCACATTATTGAAAAAAACTTTTTCGCGCGTGCACACCATCTTCACGCTGAATGTATGGCCGTCTGTCGATCGAGCTGGATTCCAGTGCCAGCATGATCGAAGCTCGTGAAAACGGTGCAGCGCAAGGGTTTTTGGATCGATAATTCAGAGCTTGCACTGCGTCGTTTCAGGGTTCGCGTGTAACTGGGAGACAGGGAGGTGTGTACGAGTCTATAGCTAACGATGTTCAACGCTGTGCATGATAGTTGTACGTACTTGCAGCTCAACTTGTGTTCCCTGGGTTTAAATGGTATATGGACGATTTCATTATCATACCAACCACAAAAACAGAAGATTTTCTCTGCCATGTATTCAAGGCTCTGTCGTTTTTAGACTCATGCTTGACATGGTAAACGTTTCAGTCATCCCAAACCGCTTCTGCCAGGTGTGGAGAAATTGGTATCCTGCGCAGCTACGTTATAAAACCCAACAGGCAAAAGCGGTCGTTACCAAATTTAGTTCTGAAGACATAACACATCTGGTAATTACAGTAAGTAAACGACACAAAGAACGACGATATTATCATCATTATAACGATCGATGGCACAATCGAAGAAGCATGCAGAATGATACCACCACCACGTTTAACGGAAGCCGCATGGAATACGCTAAAGTAGTTAAAAACTAATAGTACCGTACACGAGTTTATACCTTGACATACAAATGACAAAATTAATATAAGCGCAGGCTGGTCAACTTAAAAGCTATTAGCGTCAGAATGAGTTAAGGTTGCGAATCACTTAAGGAGGACAGTTTGTAATGGCGGGTTTCTCGATATTTTGGGTGGCGACCTTTAGGGGACGCTTTCCGGCCTCGCAAGCCCCGCGAAAACTTTCGTGGTGCACTGGACAGCACAATAGTGTTAGGCGCTGATCTTCCATAGAAACTGTCGTACGAAATGAAGACCTTCTCGGAATCTTGGCTCCACTTTTCATTTGCTTTTTCGACGATATCTAGCAGGTTTGGCAGGTGTTTCGACAGTTTACTCGGAATTTTGGGGACCTTTAAGTTGATGAACGTATGCTGTGTTGGATCGCGTTTGGAACTGCACAAGTGCAAATCACTTGGTTAAATCGTTATCACAAAAAATATAGTGCTTTATAGTATTATGAACGAAAGGCGTTTCGCGCCGCTGGACATTGCGAGTATCGTACCAAAATAAAATCAAAACTAGGAGGCAGACCTACATATTAGGCAGCTCTTGCTTGACTGTTGTAGCCAGTTTTTTCATGTTGCCTTTCTGGAACCGGAATAGAATCCCGTGGAATGGCGCACTCAAATACTGCAGTTCATAAACATGTGCCAATCGGATTCCACTTGTGGTCCTGAAACGGAGACTAATCGATTCCACCAGATCTGCAATGTGAAGAGTTTTGAGATTCGTACTTCAGTAAGTCAATAATTAAGTTACTTAATCTCCTGTTTCTGCAGTTCTGTAATCCGTATATCAAAATTCCGCTATGTTTAGAAACACGGGTTAATGTGATTAAAAGATCGTATGTCTATGTACTTCTTTCACGCTAAATCAACGGAGATGTAAAAATAATCTCTAAAATTTACACAAGTTTCACTTCATTTTAGGCTTTACTTACTTCAACCCTTGAATCAAAGCGCCAAGTACATCGAATACAATACGTATGCAACTTCCATTATAAAATTTTAAATACCTAATTCTTTCAAGTCAAATCTTGTCACTTACCATTAGTGATTAGTAACACATAATCATCAGATTTCGGCTGCTGCTTTGAAAAGAAACCCCCGCCATTTGTGGCTGCTGTAAAGGTCAACAGCAGCAGTCCAAAGATCAGTGCACGGACACCCATTTTAATTGCCGGTGAACCGTGAAATGGCCAACAATCAGTTCTTCTCAGAGCGCTAGAAAACTATGGCTTGTATAGCAGGACAAGGAAAATATATACGAATCACGAACATGACTGCAGAATTATCCGGCTTATATTTACGAGAGAGTTTTGGCACCAAACCGTTTTTTTCTTCTTTTAACCACCCGTTGATACCGGAAATGCTGACAGTGCTTCTGCCGAAATCGTACACTGCAGCCGAACATGTTTTAGGGAAACCCAATCTCAAGTGGCCAGACATAGCAGCATTGCCTGTAAGATTACTGGAATGCATGAGAATGAACGATGACAGTTGCATTTAGAGCGGAACGTTCTTCAAATTTTTAGTAAGCGTTTGCATGTATTCACTGTGCCATGAAGAGAGTGTTTTGGGAAACAATTTTCAAGTGGTGCTTTTTTCCGAATTTACTCATTCAAGTGTTTCTCCAAAAAAATATACAGATGTAGGAGATATTGCAGGTTTTTCTTCATGTTGCATCTCAATAAAGTTGGCAGTCGCGCTTCAAGAGTGTAAAAGCGTCGGCTCAGTTTAAGGAAACCAGGAAATACTGTGTTCGGCAAAAGCTGACATCATTATTAAGTGTCATCGCTGCCGACACAACTTCCAATGAGAATAACAAATAACTGCCTAGAATAACTATAACACAACTCCTTGCAATAAATATTATTTATTCACCGATTGCATTAACAACATCCGGTAAGCCAAGATCCCTGATTGGAATCTGTAGTGTATGTAGTACTCGTACAAAGATTGTACGAGTATCTCGTGAGATGGATAATGGCCTATGGCTAATGTGCCGTAACAACGGTATTGGTGTTGTACGTTATTGTTGCCATGTCTAATGTTTAGTTGGTTGTTTGCTGCTGTCCCGAGCGGACATAATAAAAGATTATGCCGTTCGTTCAATACATGACAGAATCATCCAGAATTTTCACGTGGCATCGTTTTCCATTTTGTGCGTTCTAGTGTTGTCATGTTGTACTTAGCAACCGTTGTTTGTGGTAGCTGTACTTTCTGCTGTTTTGTACTCAGTATTCATACTTCGCTTACTGCCTTATATGGGCTCCCCTTACATTACTCTCCCTTATCTGGGCTCCCGGCTAGTGAGCAATACCATACAAGCTCAATGCTACAAAAGTACTGGCGAAATAATTATTTTAAATAAATCTAAGTTCTCATTCAGTCATAACACTGAATTCCGGAAGGATTAATGGCGACCGTTATTACTCGCAGTTTTGCAGCTGTTATTAACAGCTGCAAAACTGTGAGTAATAACGTAACCGCCGATGTAGAGGGTTGCTCATATTGCTCGGGAGCCCACATAAGAGAGAGTAATATAAGGGGAGCCCATATAAGGCAGTAAGCGAAGTACTGACTGGCCTGCGTTCATGTCGTATTAAGGGAAGGGGGCCCGGTACATGATACCCAATACGTATACCTGCACGAAATCTTTCACTTTCGCGCACTCGGAATCCTTTTTTCTCTTGGTTTGTGACATTTTGTAGCCAAATGATTTGTATACACTGTCATGAAAACCGTTTGTGCGCGCAACATCCGGTTCGAGAGTTATGGCTGTTAGAAAATTCCAAAAAGTTTAAATGCATTCCGGTGTACCAAAAGTCTTATTATGGACCAATCTCCTTCAAATTTTGCACTTAGATGCACATGGCCGTGAAGATCGTTTTTACACCGATCCAGATTTCCGCGATTTTTTTCAGTCAAACCGAACAGTCAGTGCAATCCACTAAGTTCATTCTTGGCCTGCACCGCAACCGAAGAACCAATACGTAAATCTAAAACATTTCTCGACCCTTTTCTCTCACTGTTTTTACCTGGCCATGGTATGCAATTTTTCACTGAAAACGCGGCGCTCTGTTAGAGCTTGCCCCTTGATAAAACGAAGTTCTTTACGGAAGCATATCTTCGCGTCTTCCCTTTTTCCTACAGTTTCTAACGCAGGCTGCTGGATGCACGACGCTGCTGGAATATCTGCCGACCGTTCGAACATCCTGGTTACCACAGAGCAGAAGCAAGTACCTACTTTCCCTACTCTGGATTTGAAAATGAGTTTTAAAATTTTTGAAATTCGTTTTAAAATTTTAAAATCATGCTAGACCAGTGGATCGGTGCAAAAACATTCTTCGTGATTATGTGCATTTACGTGGAAAATCTGAAAAAGATCGGTTCATAATAAGACTTTTGATACACCGGAGCGCATTTAAACGTTTTGGAATTTTCCGAACAGTCATAACTCCCGAACCGGATGTTGCGCGCACAAACGGTTTTCACGACAGTGTATACCAATCATTTGGCTACAGAATGTCACAAAACAAGAGAAAAAAGGGTTTGGGAGTGCGCGATAGCGAAAGATTTCGTGCATGTAAACGAATTTGGTGCCATGTATCGGGCCACTTCACTTAAAATCCCTACTTGTAATACGTGACATGCGTGTTGCGCACGACGCGGATGCCTTCACCCATGCTGCCCTACGCTTCACGTCGAGCAAAAGGGGCCTCTGATCCATTCAAGATGGTGTAATTATTATTCGCCATTGGCTTTTGGAGTGAGCGGGGTTGGTTGATCAGCGTTTTGCTACTTCGTTTTCATGTCTCTTTGTCATTTGCAGGCGCCAGGCACGGTACCCAGTTTTGCGGCGCCACACTGTTGACGTATTGTCAATTAATTAATAATCTGTTTTGATTCTCTGCGACAAAATTTTTGAACTGTTGAGGATCTTGTGCCAACCAGTACCACAGTTTAAGCTAAATCTGTAAGTATATGCTTCCACGTATGGAGTTTACTACCCGTACGTTCGCTTAACAAGTAAGTGGACCACTATGTTAAGTCAACGAGCGATGGTTGTTTAAGTGTATAAAGTAATAAACTAAAGAATTTTCTTCCAAAAACCGATCTTCTTTCGGTTTTTTATCCGATTAAACAAGAAGCACCATTTACAGAGTACTTGAAATTTTCAAAAAAAGCCTGAATCGTTTGTTTTCGCAATTGCGTTGTAAAGAATTCTGTGACGAAAGCTTTTTAGCCACCATCGAAAAAGAAGAGCCAGACAAAACGTAGCTAGTGTTTGGACTTTGGACTGCCCGGGAATCCCGTATCCGCAGCGGTGACATGTAATTTGTTTCTTCTGCCGACACTGCGAAAGATGTCTGGCTACGTTAATCCCCAGTATACATTATTGCGGGCGAAAGTGGTTAAGGATGTCAGACTTGATCCGCGACCAGAGTTTCATCGCGCGGTCATCGAGTGGACGGTGGTGGGAAAGAACTGGCCGTCGTACACAGTACGGGAAATCAGATTAGCCGTCGCCTCTTGAGTGTAAGTGGTGCTTGATGTTTTGATGCGCATGCCGGCGAAAGCGGACAACAAAACCGTTCTTCACGCTGGTGATTTTTTTATTGATACAATTTGACTCTAATCAGCTTTGCTTATTATTTTGTCAACTTTTGATTAAAAGTGCCTATTTATTTTTGCTTGTGTATTTGGGTGATTCGGGTGCGAGCAACAGCATAAACTGCCAAACCGTGGTTCGACTTGTACTGACTGAAATACGTGCATGTCAATAACGATGTTTTGTCTAAAAATCTTATCAATCAAGGTGCTCGCCAGCTTTTAACGTGTACAATCTGCACTTTATATAGTTACGCTTATTTTCAAGAGGCTGCGTCAGCACTGATATATGTAGTATCCGGACATATTTAATTGCATGTATGTATCTGTTGCACTTACCGCTGCTTTTAATCCTTTTCAATTCGTCTTCGACGCTTGAAATGAAAGCTGATTTAAAAGAAATGTATAAATTCTGAAAAAATTTTTAACTTTGGCTGCGAATTCATAATTATAATTTTATTATTTCTTTTGGTCGGCCTTTTCGGTAGCTTCGGTGTAACCAAACGGGGCGATAGAGACCTAAATGATCATGTATTTCTTTTTGTAATTGCACTGAATCTGTTGCTTGATTTCCTGAAAGTATATGGTATGCTAGAAAGAGTGTGATTTTCGATTCCGCTTCTTTGTTAATTGTTGAGAATATAGTCGCTTGGATTACCTTGCATCTAGAGGTATCAACTCACGCAAGAGCCTTGATGTACGGGGAAGAACAGCATCTAAACTGATCAGTACAGCGGAAAACAGTCACCTTGCTCTCAATAACGGCTGCTTCTTGTAAATATATCGTAGCGCTGCGATCAGGTTGGACCACAGGCACAGATATTGCGCATGTGAGATCATCACACAGGCTGGTTTGAACTGGTTAAAGTGCTCGTATAAACAGACGCATGGGCATACGCACGCAAGCTGTACACGGTCTGCTTTCATAAAACTTTGGCGCAGAACGGTGACTGGCAAGATACAATTCAACACATAATTATAATGCACCGCGTATTATCTTTATATGATCGCACCGCGTATAGTTTTATAAACTTTTTGTTCAATTTAAAGCTGTGAACCAAGTGGTTAGAACAGCCTACCGGCACTATTGACTAAACAACCAGGTTCGTCTACGGTAATTGCCGTACATAAAAGATGCGAGTACGTGTACAGCATCAAAAAACCATTTTCACTATTGCGAAGTCCGATCAACATAACCTTGGAGCCACTGTCTGGTTCACCATTTCGCGACTAATTTTCCGCACACTTACCGCCTGGATTGCAGATTAATCATTGCTCCTCCACACGTTATTTATCACAGCGTGTGGAGCGGGAATGATAAATTCGCAGACAGGCAGGGTAGCCAAAGCTGTAAGTTTAAGTTTTTTTCGCAACGTCGAAACCACGCACCAACGCAGTCGTGGAGAATTATAACAGTATTCGCAGACTGTACTTTACCAGATATTTATTGCGAAGGCAGCTCTAACTATTTTTTAAACGCTGAATAAAGCTTATCGGCAACAATAATACAGAGCATGGTGCAGCCATGCAGCAGTCGTAATAACAGCGATTATCAGCTGTTTTCTGCTAGCGAAATTCCTGTGCTTTAATCACCCCTTTGGCATTCATTTCTGTGG